GAGAGGGCGGTTTTGCCATGGTCACATCTGTAAACAAAATACCGAGTTCTCTTTCTGGGAACATTAGCGTGTGGGCACTATCAAGGTGGACATCCCCAGTGCAGAGGGACGGGAGGTAAGGTGTTCAGAATTCCTGTCTGATGGAACTGTTAGAAGCAGTAGGGGCTTTCAGGTCTAAAATAGCCCTTCTCAAACTTACCTACTACACAAGAACAGGGATCCCTGTGGGACTGCTAGAAACTCATATCTTGGGCCCACCAACTCAGACCTGCTCAGTCACAATCTTACCCTAAGAAACTCCCCAGGTGGTCCATCATGGGTCTCACCCCAGGGAGATGGAAAGCTGTGGGTAGCCGTGTTTGCCCCTAGAGTTTCAGAGTGGTCTGAGTATGACATTGTTAAAAGTTCCCCAAGGATTTTTATGTGAAGTTGGGGTGAAAGCCAGGTGTCTAGAGAAGAGAGGACTCGAAGAAGGGGTCACAGAATGTGCTCAGATTCCAGCAGGGTTGTTATGGGGGAAAACACACTTTTTGGTGGCCCTTGATAAGGTAAAGACCAGAAGAGGAAAGTTCCATTGGCATTAGGAGCAGGGAAGTACTTTCTAACAGGCACAGCTGCCCACAGATAGGATGGGCTGTATCTCTGGCATGGGGGGTATCCAATCAGAGTGCAGTGATCACTAAGACAGAATGCGGCAGGGAGTTCATCAGAAAGGGATATTCAGGTTGACTTCATGTTCCTTCCCATTCCTGATGGCTAGGAGAGTTCATGGGGCAGCTGGAGGCTAAAGCCTAGACTGGGCAGTACAGCCATGGGGACTGATCACCCATCAACCTTCTCTCCTATGTAGGGACAGTGGCTTCTCTAGCCAGGGTCTGGACACCTATGTGGAAATGAGGCCAGTCTCTACTTCCTCAAATGACTCTTCCTCTGAACAAGGTGAGGATGGACCAGAAGAGAGGCAGAAGGTTGCTGGGAGGCAGGGTGTGGGATTAGAGAAGAACAGGGCTGTGACAGGGATGCCCTGATGCTTCTTCCCACCCCAGGCCTGGACAAGGAGGAGAAACGGCCACTAGAGCTCTGGGACCTCCTGCACTTCTCCAGTCAAGTGGCCCAGGGCATGGCCTTTCTGGCTTCCAAGAATGTAAGTCACAGCAGGCACACATTTGTAGTCCCAGCACTTAGAAGGCTGAGGCAGGAGGATCATCACAAGTTTAAGGACAGCTTGGACTACATAGTGAGACCTTGTCTCAGAAAGACAACACCCCACCCCCCCACCCCCCCCACCCCCCCCCCCCGCCCCAGAATGCAAGTCAGAACCGCTCTGGTGCTCAGGTTGTGCTGATGTGGTTGGTCAGAGTCTTATGGGGCTGAACGAATGAGAAGGGGGAGGAAAGGGGAGTAGGTCGGGGAGGGAGGATGGGGCTGAAAGAGCGCAGGCAGGCGGGCTAACTGTGCCCAGGTTGGTTTTTCCGGAGGGGTGGGGCCTCCAACCAGGGGAGTGTCTGTTTCCGGGAGAGGTCCAGAAGGGTACTAGTTCCCCAAACAGGTTTTATGCACTCACTTTTACTCAACATTGTAAACGGGACAACAGTTGTCTCCCCGGGTGACACACAGCCTCATAGGATGAGACCAGAATCTTCTTCATGGGGTGGTGAGGACATCACAGAACCAAATACTTTTAGCCCAGGATTAAGTGCCCAGCAGTGAGCACATCCTTAGAATAGAACAGACTGGGGGGTCAATGGCTGGGGGTGACTTTCATTTTTCTCCGAGCCTCACCCTCTTTATCTATAAAAATGGCATAATCACAATTCTCTGAGGCTAAAAATTGAGCATTAATGTGTACTAACACTTAGGGAGGCACTGGGCCTGGCGCTGGGAAACCCTGAGGGTAGCAGCTGTCGTAGCTAGAAGGGCTCTGGAGGTAAGGCGGCGGTGCCTTCTGCACATCTATCTGAGCACATTACATCTTCTCAACCCCTGCAATGTGGCAGATTTGGACAGGAGCTCAGGATAGAGGACAACTGATGCCGACTCCTTCAGGGGGACCCCAAGACCGCATGGGAACCCCTCACCCTTCCCCATGTCAAGCTCAGATAGGGAAGGGCTGAAACTAATTACTGCAGTGCTTCCCCTCAGTGTATCCACCGGGACGTGGCTGCTCGAAATGTGCTGCTCACCAATGGGCATGTGGCCAAGATTGGGGACTTTGGGCTGGCTAGGGACATCATGAATGACTCCAACTACATCGTCAAGGGCAATGTGAGTGCTGGGAAGGAAGAGATGGGGTAGGGAAGGGACAGAAAGCCAGGGCCCCAAACAACTAGGGATGATCTTTTCAGGCCCGCCTGCCTGTGAAGTGGATGGCACCAGAGAGCATCTTCGACTGCGTCTACACAGTTCAGAGCGATGTCTGGTCCTACGGCATCCTTCTCTGGGAGATTTTTTCATTGGGTGAGCTGCTGGGTGAATTCCAGGCCCACCTTGGAGCCTGGCTACTCCACCAGTGTGTCGTACCTGGCAGAGGCAACCAGTCAAGATGCCTGGGGCCCAGAATAGCGCAAGGGCTGGCCGGAGTAAGCAGATGGGCAAGAGCTTTCAAATATAGCACTGCAACTTTTGTGGGCTGGGCGGATCCTTCAGTGCTGACACAAATGGCCTCTGAGCCCTTTCATTTGTTTCCCTCAGGCAGTTGCTTTTCTCTCTGATACTGTTGGCCCTCTTGGCCCAAAGTGACATACTCTTGCAGATGCAGCTTAAGTAACTAGCCATTTCCTGAGGACCAGACACAGGGATTTGTGCTAAGCCCTCAAATGCACTTCTCTACCAACTTCCTAATACCTGGCACAGTCCCCACTTGGTCCACCTGACTGCAGAGCCTGTGCCATGGTTCTGTGTGGGGTTAGCATCTCGTGCAGCAGGCCCTGGGGAGGAGTAGCTGCTGCACTGGGGTCCAAGTCCAGGTGGGGCCCTTTGCACACCGCCTCACTGGGACACAAGTGAGCGGGGAAAGAGGAAGACAAGATTCAGTGTGGCCCCTTACATGACCCTGGTCTTCATAGGACTGAACCCCTACCCTGGCATCCTGGTGAACAGCAAGTTCTATAAGCTGGTGAAAGATGGATACCAAATGGCCCAGCCTGCCTTTGCCCCGAAGAACATGTATGTGATGGGTCCTGGGGGAAGGGGATGCCAGGCTTTGATCGGAAGGGTATATCTTTCTCTGCTGAAATGCTCCAGGGGCAGGTTTTCATCTCCCCACAATAGACTCTAGAAAAACCCTCTTTTCCCCTAGTTCAGTGTTTTTACTAGTTTCCAGGCAGCCTGGGGGATGGGCTCAGATAAGACTCTGAACTGGGCCAAGCCCTAACCACAGCCAGACTTGTAACTTATTACAATGACCTTGAGGACACTGGATTTATGTCTCGAAATCGGGGTGATGAGAACATTCTCCAAGGGGTTACCAGAAGAACTGAGGTAAAGACAATAAGTACTGTACCAAACTTTTTTTCTTCCCCAATGCTGGGGATGGGACATGGAGCCCCATGCACGCTAGATGAGCAGTCCACCACTGTATGTGCTCCATCCCACAGCTCCCAAACTCACGCCTGACTAGGTTTGGGATCTCCACTGGACAGGTCTCCGTAGGATGTATATAATGGTCCCCTGACACAGAGGCGCTTCATAAGGGCAACTTCTGTCCTATCTCCAGATACAGCATCATGCAAGCCTGCTGGGACCTGGAGCCCACTCGCAGACCCACTTTCCAACAGATCTGCTTCCTTCTCCAGGAGCAGGCTCAAGCAGACAGGAGAGAGCAGGTGAGGTGGTGACGGGTGGGCAGAGTAGCTGGAGCACACAGGGTTTGGTCTGATCTCTGGATTGTCCCCGCACCACCCACTCGCAGGACTATGTTAATCTGCCAAGCAGCAGCGACGGCGGCAGTAGCAATGGCAGCAGCGGCAACAGAGGCAGCAGGAGCAGCAACAGCGAGCCGGAGGAAGAAAGCTCCAGTGAGCAGCTGGCCTGCTGTGAGCCAGGGGACATTGCCCAGCCCCTGCTGCAGCCCAACAACTACCAGTTCTGCTGAGGTGGTGACAACAGGACAGGAGCGCTCTCTCTCCACCACCAAGCTTCAACTCCTCCATGGATTGGGCAGCATGGGGAGAACACACAAACTCTGCCCTTGGTCATTTCCATAGCTTGGCCCAGCTCCAAAACTTGGGGATGTGAGGGGCTTGGGGGAGGTCAAAAGACCCCACTCCCAGAGCCTGGGCCATCACTGCCACTTAGGGGCTGAGCCCTTTCAACCCTCCCCCACTGTTCTCATGATGGTGGACTCATTGTTTGCCGACAACAGTAAAACCCCAGCTAACTCCTACCCTTGTTTGCACTTGGCTTCCCAAACCCTCTCACATCTCTATGGAAATGGACTGTTTGGATGGAGTGCTGAATGCTGAGAAAACAAGGCTCCTGGGGGCCCAGCAAGCCATGGCATTATATTCTGAACCAAGCGGGGCAGCAGGAGCCGAAGGAGTGCTTTCAGACCACAGGTCCCTTGGGCACGGTGGCTCCTCTGCATGACTCTGATAGGACCTTCCACCCTTCGCCCTACAGCCTTCACCGGGCAGCCAATCCTACCCTGGACCTGGCACTGCTGTAATGAGCCACATGGCAGCTAAATGTGAGGGGTGCTCTTCTCAGTTCCCTGCCATTCTGGGCTGGAAGGCAGAGGACCTTGGTGTGTGCTGGTCACACCAATCAAGAAGTTCACAGTCCCCCAAGCTGACGCATTGTAACTAACAGTCATGCTGCGGGATGTTCTTTGTAAACATTAAACTAACGGCATTAATGCAGCCAGCCTCTGGTATTTTGTGTCACGTAAGTGCCTACAAATTTCTGAGAATCTTCTGTTCTTCCTTCACATGAAGTGACAAGCCCAGAATCCCAAAAGCCTGACCACACCGAGCCCTAAACAATGAGCATGGAACTGGCTCTTGCTTCATCAAAACCAGATAATTTAATAAACTTTATTCTTGTTGGGGGGAGGGGACAGCCACCTACTTCACTTCTATCAATAAATTAAACACTTGGCCTGTTCCTGGGCCCTAAGCAAACCATGGGCACTTGAGCCAGCCCTGCTGTTCCCATATGGCCCAGTCTGCTTCCCCTTCACAGAAGGGAGTTTTCCTACTGCTGCCAGGTTACATCACAGGACCATGGGCCACAGCCCCTCTGTGGTGAGGATCCCAGGGCCCAGAGGGATGTAAGGTACAGCAGCAGTGGCCAGGGAGAGGAGGAAGGGGATCATCTTCCCCAAAGCTCGAGAGGACAGTCCTGGAAGAAAGCTGTGGTTGACCACTTCTCCTTCTAAGCTTCCCTCAAATGTGGTACAGGAAGACCTGGAGAAAAATGTATCCCTCTTTGGGAAGAATCAAGAGCCCAAAGGGATGTCTAACAGGAACGAGGCCACCTCGTCTGGGGTCAGAGGCAACAGACAGGCTAAAGAGCTCATGGGGCTCTAGGTCTGGCCCAGGCTCCCCAGGTGGAAGAGACACCTCACCTAGTGTGGAGCCTGCCTCGGCCCACCCCAGGACCTCCACCCCACCTGCATAGGCCTCGGGGCGCTGGTGACCAGCCTTTCCCTCAGCTTCCTTCCCCTCCTTAACCGTACTAGCTCCCACAGCGCTCATCCAGGGCCAGTAAGGGATTTCCCAACCCCTGTCCTGAGCCCCAGAGGGCAGAGAAGCATGGACTCTGGGCTCTGGTGTGTTCAGGAAATGGAAGCTCTTTGGTCAGCCCCAGCAGTCAGAGACCCTGCCCACAGGTGACTGCCTCTGCAGGTCCCTGGACAGATCTGCCTTGGGCAAGGCTGTACTATGGCTTGAGAGATGATGCAGTCCCTGTACAAAACCTAGCTTATTCTGCCGCTGAGGTCGCCTCCTCTTCCTCCATCTCTTCCTCGGGCTCTGTCTTGATCTGAGCAACCCCAAGGCGGTAGAGGGTGTCACGAATGACCACTTCACCAGGTTGGCAGTTCTGCACAATGTCATGGATCTGCCTGTTGACAATCTCACGGCTGGTGAGGAAGTCCATGAGGCGGTTGTAGAGGTAATAGTGAGTGGCATTGTCAAAGGCAATGGGACGCTGGCGGACACTGTTTGATTTGCTGTCCGTAATGGAGGCTAGGATAGATGTGTAGGGTGCCAACTCAGGGCACAGGGATAAGGAGTGGTGACCAGCACTGGGGTCACCAGGACTAGGCTGTGTGCCTGCATGGACGATGCGCCGCATAACACTCTTGGTGACTGGGTGCTGGACAGAGTGTTCAGCCTCTGTCACATCCACAGAATTATGCTGGTCCAAGAGCTCGGGGCAGGACACAGTCTAGAAGAGAGATGAGAAGCACTCTGACAGAAGGAAATGACCATGGTATATACTGTAGTTGGTTAGAGCAGAGGCCAAGGGGTCAGCCAGCCTTGTTTAAATCTTAGCATCACTGGGTGGTTTATCTCCTAGGTCAAATTTCATCCCTTTCCTTCTCTGCCTGGTTCCTCACGTGACAAGGGGGACAGAATAGTACACACCCCACAGAACAGATGTTGGACTGCTTCAGTTGCTATTATCATTGTATATAGTCAAGTCAGGCTGCACGATAAGAGCCACCTCTGAGAGGAGAAGGCCAAAAACCTTTCTGGAGCCCCCAGCACAAGCTTCTGGAGCCTGGAAGCCCCTGGGAATGATGACAATAATGTCCCCTGCAAGGCAAAGCTGGAGGCCTTCTTCCCCAAACACACGGTGGCAGAGGCACTTACTTTCCTTCGATCCTAGTATTCGTCCTATGGCCTCTTCCAGCGAAGAATGAAGGTGAGCCTTGGAAGGCTGTGACTGTGTTAAGAACCACTGCCTGGCACAACTGACCAAGATTCAGAGACAAAGGACCTGCTTGGGACCCTGGTCAAGTCAATTTCCTGCTCTGGGTCTTAGTTTCCCTTTTTTAAAAAAGGAGACAATCAGAGAAGATCACTTACTGTTCAGGGTTTACCTCAGGGTCTGGCTGGGTATGGACAATGACTCAAAGGTAGAAACTGTTTAATCTTGTCTGGAAGGCAAGGGCTTTTAACACAAGGCTCCTGTGTGTGGGATACTTCAAGCATGCTGAATGACACACTAAGGCTTTCTACACAGTGGTAACATAAAAAGTGACCGAGCAGGTGCTGGTTCCAGCATATCCAGACTGGATATTGGTGGAGAAAGCAAATGTGTATATTTAAGTTGGGCCCCTGAAGGGCCAAGGGAGCGGGATATACTCAACTAAGGGACATATTCCAGTTTCTCAGGAGGAGACTTACCACAGGTGGCTCTGTAGGACTAGAGAAACAGCCCTGGTTCTTCCCCCACATTTGGCTGGTCAGTTCTGGGTAGCAAAGGTCAGCACAGAGGGCCACGGGTGTAGCCATGTCTACCACATAGACAGGTGGCCAGTGGCGGGAAGAGGCTAGCAGATCCACGTGGTCACGGGCACTCTCACCTCGAACAAGGTACTTGGAACCACAAACCACCTGGAGGGAGATGAAGCGTCCAACCAGGGTTAGGGAGCTATGACACCAACTCCAACAGTAATCTCCTGGCTCACTTCTCCCTAGGATGGTGAGCGCTCAGGTTCATGACTGAGCCAGGTCATTCTACCGAGGCCATGACATTGGGTTCTCCTCTTAGTTCTGTGCCCAGATGAAGTCATTGGCTCCTCCTCCTAAAGAAGAGTTGGGACATCCTGTACTCAATTTAGGTTGAAAGGCCCTTTAGCATTTCCTTTAACCTCTACTCCTTTCCACAGTTGTACCAAGCAACATCTAATGGTTCCTAATCCTAATGGCACAGCACTAGTAGCTAATAGCTAGTTAAAGATGGAGATTCCTGGTGCCCAGCCCAAACCTCAAGAATTATGGCCTCTGGGTCTAAACATCTATATTCTGAGGAAGCTCCTCACCTAAGCCAATATGTTGACAAGATGGGAGGCTCTGGTATAGTCCAGTACCATTTCTTTCTATTGCTGGAGAGCTCTGGATACGATAGAGAATCCCACATTTACACTCACCTCGAAGACGCTCCTAAATCATACACTGCCCCTCACAACCCCAAGACAGCTAAGTCTTTGTGCCATCAACCAACTGCTTTTCAAGAGAGGACCCCTCCAGTCACATTAAGCATCAGCTTCTGAGCAGGCTCTGATCGACCCAGGAAGCACCTCCTTTAAATATAGCTTTTGTCCAACGGGTTAATAAACTCATTCTCTTTCTATAGTCACCCTATTGTCACCTCTATGAACTGGGGCTCTGCTGAGGACCCCCTGCACCCTATTCAGTATTTGTAAACAGTCCTGGGTTTTCTGTTCTAGTATATTCCTGATCCTACTCTGTCATAAGGTACACAACCTGTTGTGAAGCTATCCTGGTGACTATGGCATCTATACCTTTCTAAAAACATAGGGAGAGGCCTCTCAAAATCAAAATCACACTGGACACAGAGGCACATGTCTGTAATTCCAGCTACTTGGGAGGCTAAGGTAGGAGGAAGACAAGTTCAATGTCAGTCAGAGAAGCACAGCAAGACGCTGTCTCAAAAATGGGCTGGGAATGCAGCTCAGCGATTGAGTGTATTTTTTGCATGCTTTAGTCCCTGGATTCAATCTCCAGTGCAGCAAACACCGAACCAAGTCAAAACGAAAATCAGATCCAACTTCCCACTTAACACCACCCAAAAGGCCCTTCACAGTCTTGGAATAAAATCGCAGTGGTTACTCTGGCTCTACTGGTCCCTCTGCTGGGGAACCCTCCTTCCCTGGCTCATCACTGGGGCAGCACACTCCCCAGCAGGACTCAGCCTTTGCTGCTCAGACAGTAGTCGCTCCAAGTTACTTTCTCTCTCAGGCCCCTGACTGGTTCTTTCAGAGCTAACACTGTAGGTCAGAGCAACTTTCATTTCCTCTCTAAAATATGAGGTCAGTAGGGGAAGACTTACACCTTTGTTGCTTACTCCGTACCTTTAGCAGGTGACTCATGGCTTGGCACACGGTAGGGACATAATAAATACACACTGACGAGTCACCACATCTCTCTCCTCAGCCTACCTGAAGGTACCTGACTCATGTGCAGCTACTGTACAGGCTGCACAGCACAGGGAGTATCAAACCCCAAAGGCTGAGTCCGATCGGACTGTCTGTGTGAGCCATTTAACCTCAGGAAGTTCATCCCAAGTTTTCCCTTGTTATTCTCTTACCTGGTGGGGGCACATTTTGTAGATTTTACCCCCTGTAAGATGCGGTGGGGTCTGTCTAGCTCTGGCTCCATTCTGCACAGATTCATAGAGGGCCAATAAAGAGAAGCAGAGCTGGTCCTGGAAGGCCAAGATGAGAAGAACAGGAGTGAATGCTAAGGGACCAGGCCTGGCCCTCAGCACTAAATGTGTATTCCACATCCACAGTAAAAAGATCAACTGCCAGGCCAGAGTGGGTCTTTACGCCTACCCAGCCAATGCTCCAAAATCAGGTCACACAAAGACAGCCAGAATGACCAACCTGCTAGCTTCTAGGGTTACGGGCCTTCTAGTTTTTAGAGGTCAGAGAAGCTTTCAAAGAGGAACTAATATTTGAATCTGAATTTAAAGGAAGCATAATACTTTCAATAGCACAGAAATATGAAGGACAATAAAGTACTGCACAGGTAAAACCCAGACATACATATAGTCTTTGCATATAATAGCTACTTTTAAGAGTCTGAAAAGTAAACACTGTAATGCATTTCTTATAGTAATGTGTTGGTTGGTATTTTAATTATCCCAATTTTACACATGAGGAAAATGAAGCTCAAAATGTAAAGCAGTTTATTTAAGGTCTCACATTTTATGAAGTCAGGATTCCCGACCACTCAATCCAGGCCCACTACTTTTAACGGGACAGACTGACCGTAAGCTAAGGAGTCACATGCGTGTCATGATATGGCTGGTTGCTGCCACCTTCCAGGCCCCCAGATACCAGCACTTCCGTTCAGTGGAGGTATGCAGTCGCCGAGTTCATGTCTGAGCCGGATAAGCATATATACTCACCAGTCTGCTTCCAAAGCCTGGATCTCCACCACCAGCCTCAATACTCACCCTGCAGTCTTCTGCTGTGAAAGGGATGTCACACTGCCCCAGCAGATGCCGCAGCTCCTCTTCACTGTAGGAGCCAATCTCCTCAATCCTGCAAGTGCCTTCCTGGAGGAGCCGCACCAAGGCACTGCCATTGCCTATAAGAGATGATGGTGGAGATGGAAGGTGCTGCTGCCACCACCAGAGATACAGGTAGCGCCCTAATGCTGGAGGATGGGAACGAGGGGGCTAAGGCTGCAGAGCTGCCAGCACAACAGAAGGCAGCTTTGCACTGAGCACTGAGAGTGCTGAGAGAAATGGGACTCGAGGCAGGGCTCTGACTTCTGCATACATCTGGTCTCTCAGAACTGGAATGTGTACGGACACTGTATGAACCCTAAGACGTGTCTGCTTTTAATCCAAAGTCTTCCACTTCCTAGAACCAAGAGCACAGTAGCAGGAGCTATACTTTACAAATGTTCCCTTGCCTAATCAAGGGAACTAGGTGGGGATTTTAACAATTCCTGGGCCTTGAAACAGCAAGGATGAGGCAGGGCCTCAACAGGTAAGGTTAGATATGTTTGAGAATAAGTGGACTAGAGCATACTAAGTACTTATTAAATCAACTTAATAGGTCATATCCCAAATTTTGAAAGTAAGATAAAATAAGATTAAAAGTGCATACCACCAGTATGGAAAAGTACTGTTTCATGGAAGTTTTGGTTCAGTTACAGATATACACACCCATGTGAACCTATGGATTTCTGGGCCATAATGCAAAGTGATTTTTCTTCTTTTTTTCACACCGGAATCAAACTCGTGACCTCACGCTTGCCGCTGAGCTAAATCTCTGGCCCCAAAATATTTTTTTTACTGTGAGCTGCAGTGAAAGAATAGAAGGCTATCACTAACTGAGCTAGCTCAGCAGCCTAGCAGGTAGGCGACATGATCATGTCTTCTTGATAAATGCAGCAACAGAAGCTCAGGGGGGCAATGAGGCACCCTGATCAATTTGAACAGCTGCTAGGTAGCACAGCCAGGAACTGAACCTAAGCTGTCAGAAACGTACGTTCTTCATCACTAGTCCAATGCATCTCAATGTATGATTCACAAACCACCTACAAAGTAATCTGAAAAATCAGTTTAAAGGTAAATGCCTTGGCTTCACCATACCCTGTTTCAGTGAAAACCTTTGGGGTTGAACTTCATCAGTACTTTTGTAAAATTCCTGATTCTTGGTGTAGTGTATCCCAGGAAACTGGCAGTAAACTATGTGTCTGTTCTGGGTGATGTGGCTAGTAACGTCTTCAAACTCTGCACCCCAATTTCCATTTCCAGAGGTTCTGTCACTGGCTGTCATCATCCTTCTAGGAGTCGTGTGGGTGGGCGGGCTGTCTCTCTCACTGTGCTGTCTTGCCACAGTCACTCTTAACTGAGCCTTTCCCAGAATCCCATCAGCCAGCGAGCAGCCTTACCAGGTACTGGCTGCACATCCAGGTTTTTGTCTTTTTCAGTGTTGACGACCACAGCTCCTCTCATGAGTGGAGGGAAAAAGGGGGCAATGACAGAGGCATCAAATTTGGTGATAGGGATGCTGGCAGGGAACGCCACTTGCTCAATAACCTCAGTCTCCATTGTGGCCCAAAAGCCCTCCACATTCACCTCACTGGAACTCAGGAATTCAGGCCAGGTAAACTAGAAAAATCAAGGGTAAAAGGTCAAATTGAAAGAACCACAGAATGTCAGCAGTACAACACTGTTCACCCCTCCTTTATACCCAGAGTAAACCAGGCCTTAGTGCAGGTCAGGAGATGACAAGCACGCACTGCCAGCTCACCCCAGAATCTGACATTTAAGTACCAAATGCCCTGCCTTTCTCCCATACCAAAGTACTCTCCAAGACAGAAGCAGCCCCAGATTTCCTTGCTCCTAAACTTTTATTTATGTCATTTTCTCTTTCTTGTGAGGAAAAAGGAGCTATCATTTGAATGAACTTTATATACCAGATAATTTCTAATTAACTACTAAGAAATAAGTCTAGGGGCTATCTGAGATGAGACTATTAGAACCAGTGACAGAACAAGAAGCCCTAAGTGAACACAGGGCTAACCCTAAATCTTAGAATCAATCCCTATACCTGCTGGCAATAATCAGAATTCTATTTTGAGAAATTCTGCTCATGTTCCAAGGCCTCATCAATTCACCTCCTTCAGGCGGCTTTCCTAGTTCTAAAAGCACATAGATATCACCTCTATCTCAAGCAGCATTAATTAGTTAGTGCTGATACTAGTATTTTTCTTCCTTTTTTTTTTTGGTGCTGGGAACTGAATGCACTATTATGGTTTGTATCCTTATGTTCCTCAAAAGCCTCATGCACTCACAGGCTTTTGGGGTGTAACTGGATCATGGGTGTGTGCTCAGGGGATTAGTCCACTGATGGGTTTATAGCTGGGTATGATGCCGGGAGGCAAAGCCTGGTGGGAATAGCTGTGTCATTATGGGTATGGCCTGGAAGGGCACATAGCCTCCTTCTACCTACCTGAATTTTTGCTCCGCTTCCTGCCTAACTTACCATGAACTGTTTCTCTGCTGCTATGCCACCCTGCCTTGGCACTAGCTGACTATGGAAACCTCTACGAACTCTAAGCCAAAATAAACCTCTCCTCTGACTTGTGAGTAGAATAAGGTATTTTGTTCTAGCAATGAGAATGTAACCAAGACATGTGCTAGGCAAGTATTTTAAGCTTCATTCTCAGGCTGATTCTTCTTACATAGTTCTTGAAGTACGACCCTTATCCTACTACTTTGATCAGTTGTATGGGTCTTGGGTTAGGTACCCAGTATTACCAAAAAAGATAGACGAAAGACAAGAGAAAAGAAAAGAAAAAAGAAAGAGGAAAAAAACCAGAAAGAATGTGCTGGTCTTCAAAACAGTAGTCCTGGTCCCACAGAAGGGAAGGTATGCTGATAACGGAGACTGAAGGAAATGCTACTCCATTCTATGACAGAGGAGTCCTGACTGGGACAGTGAGGGTGCCAAGCAGAACTGGGGGATGTGACCTTCAGAAGTGGGCTGCAGTCTAGTCTGGGAACCAAATCTCCCTGTAGCCAAATGTGATTAGCAGCACTCAAATGTGAGGCCTACGATGCCCTGGTGAGCCTGGCAGTGCTTGGGAACGCAGGCTCTGGACTTGGCTAACTAGGCTCACAAGGTGAATCTCACGCTCATCTCTGAAGGGCTGGGGGGTGAGGGTCCTGGCTTAGCTCCCCTGGGCTTGTTTTATACCTATAAAAACTTCAAAGGGTTTGAGAATTAAGTCATACAGTAAAGCATTCAAGATGAGAGTAAGAATTTAATGAAAGTAATAAAATGCTTATCTGATTTGCATTATTCTTAGTATCATAATCAGGCAGGTGCATCTGGAGTAAGTCTGGAAATAGCTGCTTAGTGAGGTTACATTCAAAAGCATGATTCACAGAAAAAAATTTATTCATTTTATGTACAAGGAACATTTAAAAGGCTACAGGAGGGCCACAGGTGTAGCTCAAGGGTAGAATTGCTTAGCACATCAAAAGATCTTAGATTCAATTCCAGAATTATAAAAAAAAAAGACGCTATAGAAGGTATCATGCTTGTTTTTATAGATATACTGTTATAATCTTTAAATAGCAGTTAATACTTGATCACCAAATGGTCATTGTTATTCAATCAGTAAGAAAAAGGAGTATGCATTAAACCTCTACCTAACAAGCTTAGTTGGCCATGCCAAAACACACCTGCCCTGGTGCTAACATGGAAGACGCCAGTCTGGTGCCTGGTCAAATCCCAGGCTTCTTGTTCATTCTGACAGAGTTCAGAAGATGAAAATCTTGAACCTCAGTTCAACTGCTAGCACAGTCAAGGGGCACTCCATGCTTACTCTCTTCATGTGATCACATTTGGAAAGCACCATCTATGGGACTTAAAAAAAAACTATATACCAAAAAAAGAAAAAAAAAAAAAAAACTGTACAAGGTTAATGTCAAAAAAAGAAAAAAAAAAAAACTGTACAAGGTTAATGTCAAAAAAAGAAAAAAAAAACTGTACAAGGTTAATGTCAAAAAAAGAAAAAAAAAACTGTACAAGGTTAATATCATTATCTTCAATTTTGCCTAGAGTTTTATTATAAATGGGTGATGAATCATACTGAAAGCCTTTTTGAAAAACATCTAATGAAATGAGTTTTCCTCTTAATACAGCCAACAGGAAACTATACTGGTCTATTTACTAATGCCCTAACAATTTTGCTTTCTGGTTATAAACTTGGTCATGACGCACTACTTTAATCATGGAGATATGATTTGCTATCTTACTCAGAATTCTGACATCTCTATTCATGAGTACAATTAACCCCAGTTTCTTATACTAAGAACATCTGATTCTGTTTTCATGGTTACAGGCCCTAAATGACAAGTTGGGGAAATGTACCTGCTTTTGTCATTCTGATAACTACAGTGAATACATTTCTTGGATATTTGTTACAATTAATCTAGGAAGCTACCTGAATTTGGTATTATCTTTGTATGGAAATTTTAGTTTCGAGCCCAAAGCATCTCAGGTTATTCTTTTTTTTCCAATTCTTTCCGTCCTCTCCATTTCCTTCTATGTGAGTCCTTAGAATGGCCCACAGGAGCCTGGGTAGGGTCTTGCTTCCTACATTTCTGAACCTCACACATCCTACCCTTCCCTGCATCATTCACTAGCAACTGACTCCTCAGTCATGCCTACTGAGACTACCCCAGAGCCAGCTCCTGCTGCTCCCTTTCCTCTCTGGAATATTCTTCCCCAAAGCTGCATGGGTCTCAGATCTCTACTCAAATGCTACCACATCAGAGACCTTCCTGGACTACATTGTGCTCCACAGCACTCATTACTATCTGACAACTGTTTGTTTCCTGCCTCCCCCAAACCAGAGTGTGAGCTCCATGATGAAAGAAACTACTGTTTCCTTTTTGATGGTAGTGGCATCAATCTTGGACTCTGTACTTAGTAGGCAGGAGTTCTGTCAGTGAGTCACATCCCCAGAAAACTCTGGGGCTGTACCTCAGTGACAGAGCACATGCTTAGCATGCACAAGGCTCCAGGTTTCATCTCCAGTCCCAACACACACACCCAGGCACGCACGCACGTGTGCATGCCACTGACTTCATCCAAACAGGACCAAAGCCATCTATCCTTGGGGACATCATGTAGGAAAGTGGTCGCCAAAGTGAGAAATAGTTCTGAGTGTCACTCATGGTCCTGACAGACACTTACCTCCACACTTTTCAGTGCTAGCACATTCTCTTCACTCCTCTGGGCCAATTCCACTTTGGGGGCCACACCACAGATGCCACAAATCATGTCATTGTAGTCTCGGACAGTGAGGCACTCGAAAGCCCAATAGCCATTGCACAGCAGCTCTTGCAGCTGGCTCAGCTCCTCTGAAGTAACAGTCTTTTCTGGAGGAACAGCAGGAACACTGAGGTCACAGGAAGACACTGAAAGCAGGAGAAGTGAGCCCGTGGCCAGCAGGTACAGCAATCCTACAAGACTGACTCTTTTCTAAGACTTAATTATCCCCAGGCTCAGATAATTGACCTTCAAGTGCTCAGGGGCAATACAATGGAGAATTCCACTTGAAGTGACGGCTGCCTTGTACTGAGCATCTTAGGTACCCAATGCTGTGCTGAAAGCTTCAACACACTTAGTAATTTAATTCTCATATGAATTTAATTCTTTACAAACCAGGGGCTATGTTTACCCTCATCTCATAATTAAGAGACACAGAAATGGAGTAACTTGTCAAAATCACGCTGCCACTACACGGCAGAGCCAGGTCTCAAAAAGCCTGGCGGCTGCAGCACTTTGCTCTATTCCAACATGTCCACCAGCAGGCTTGGCACAAGAGGCTGCAGTCTGTAGGAACCATGAAAAGAAAAGCACGAGGACCAAGAATTTATGGACAGTAGAGAGGATAGTTCCTGTTCTCAGGCTTGGCATGAGCCTTGGGACTAACAGACGTCTAAGAATCATGTATTCAGGATGAGTCTGACCAAAATGCTGGGAGGATCAAAGGATATGCTTCCCGAAGCAGTAGTAGCAGCAGTAGCCTCTTGCTAAGTCCCTGGAGGCATGGAAAGATCCATGCTTTCCAAAATCAGTATGGTACTTATAATATTTAAAAGGAAGTCAAGAATGTATCCTTTTTGGGGCCAGGATTTGGCTCAGTGGCATAAGTGCCTGCCTGGCAAGCACGAGGTCATGAGTTTGATCCCTGGTGCCAAAAAATAAATAAATAAATAAATAAATAAATAAATAAATAAATAAAAGGAGAATGTGTCCTTTCCAAAATATCAGCTTTGTCAGGCATGGTGGTGCACACTTACAATTCCAGCACTCAGGAGGCCGGGGTAAGAGGAGTGTCACAAGTTTGAGGCCAGCCTGGACTAAATAGTAAGTTCAAGATTATCCCAAATGAGGGGCTGGGGATTTAGCTCAGTGGCATAAGCACCTGCCTTGCAAGCAGTCAGTCATGAGTTCGATCCCTGGTACCGGTAAAAAGGAAAAAGACAAAAAAAAAAAAAAAAAAAAAAGATTACCCCAAATGCATAGTGAGACTCTTGTCTCAAGAAACAAACAACCAAAGCAAAATGTAATCAGGCACTTCTCCAAAAAGACTCTTTCAGCCAGTCTATTCCCAAAAATTCTCATGTGCCTAAGGACATCCTGGAAAAGGGAGAAAGTGCCCTTTACCTGTTTGCTCCTGAACGGACTTCAGTACAACACTGACGGATACTCTGGGATCCTCTCCCAGTTTGATCTGGTTTCGGATTGCAAACAGCAAGTCCAGGCTTACTAGCAGCTTGTTTCCCACATTAAAGAGCCCTGCAGGTAAAAAAGAGGCAAGGAGGAATTCACTGTAGCATTTTACTTACTGGAAAAAAGTAACACATAAACTAAATGACTATCAATAGAAGAATAGTTAAATTATAGTACATTCATAAAATAGAAACATGATGCATTTTAAAAGAATAAAGGAAACCTAACTCTTCTGACATGAACTTGTCCACAACACATTTTTAAAATGAAAAAAAAAATCTACTAATGAAATACATACTATACATTGCTTTACTTTGGTTTTTTCCCCCAATAAAAAAAGAAACATTTCCCTACCCCCTAGCTCAGTCCTCAGGACCAAAGATGTCACTCTTCCTCTACACCTCACAACTGCACCATGGGGAAGGGTCAGGAGCATCCTTTAGCCCAGGGATGTGTAGGGGACGTAACAAAGTCTATAAAATCACCCCTACATTAAATCCTAGAATAAGAGAACCAGAGGAATTTAAATGCAGTGATTTAAGACAAATAAAAGGGTGATTTTACATTTGTACAAAATATATCATGCAAATTTGTACAAAAGCAAATTCTAGAACATATGTTTTCAGTAGAGTAGGGAATAGAGGAATGGGGAAGACTTTCTAAGGATGATAAGCAAAGGCTGAAACCATAAGCGCAAAGCTCTGGTTACATAAAAATTAAAAAAAAAAAAAAAAAAAAAAAAACCCAAACAACTCTGATGTCTCCAAAATCACCAAAAACAAATTTAAAAGACAACTGATAAACACGGAGAACACTGCCCCAAAAAAAGTCCAAAAGAAAAATGGAAATGTTCACAAAACAAATTCATGACAGAGAAACAAACAAACAACAAACCCCACAAAGGATCATGAAAACAAATATACTCTTCCTGGTAATAAAAGAAATACCACACATTAATAAATGAAACACTAGTTTTATTTATCAAATTAATGCGCTTTAAAAAATACTGATCTATAAAAAGTTCTCAGAGCTGAGTTTTAGCAATGAAATGATACAGTAATGAACAGTTGGAAACTGTGCTGATTTAGCAGAGAAGCAAACAAAAAACTTAGTTTTAAATCTAACAAAATACATGTAAGACTCAATGCCAAAAACTACAAAAACTGATCAAATTCTTAAAGATAAAAATATTTAACAAGAAAACCCCCCAAGATGAAACAAAAAGCTTTATGAAAGAAAAAAAAGAAAACCTAGTAAAATGGAGAAAAAGATCTTGTTTGCACACTGAAAAACTCCAGTATTACTAAGCATCTCAAATTTCTCCAAACTGATCTGCAAATACAACACAATCCCTATTAAAACTGTAGCAGAATTTTGTAGATATTGACAAGCTGACTCTAAAATCTGTACAGAAATCAAAAGAATGGAACTAGCCAAAAACAGGGTTGGAAGACTCATCCTACCCAATGATAAAACTGGCTGCAAAGCTACAATAATCAAGACCGTGTGATTCCAAAGGATGAACATGTAAGTCAATGGAAAATTATAGTGTCCAGAAATAGGCTCACCCACATACAGTCAAATGCTTTTCAACCAAAGAACAAAGGTATCTTAATAGAGAAAGGACTGTCTTTTTAACAAATGATAATACAACTGGACACTGACATTAAAAAACTATATTCACTCAGAACTTATAGTTCTAAAAAAGTTAATTAAGAATGGATCACAGAAGGAATTACAAGGTAAAACTTTTAGAGACCAGGAAGGGGATGGAGGGAGGAAAAGGAGAGGAAAATAATGGGGACAAAAATAATTGATAGATTCTACAGGCATGCACTAACATACCAAATGAATCTCACTATGTTATTACTAATATGCACTAATAAAAATGGATAATAGATCTAAGTGTGAACCATAAAATTATAAAACTTTGAGAGGGACTTATAGCCAGAATACATAAAGAGCTCTCAAAACTCAACATAATTCAATAAGCCAAAGATGTGCACAGATAATTTATCAAAGAAGATACAAAAATATTCATACATGATTAGTCACTCGGGAAATAAAAATCAATATGAGACACTACCATACACACAAAACGTAGTATAGCTAACAACACTGCCACCGAGTACTGGCAGGCAGAGCTAAATGGAACACACACATCACTGGAAAGAATATAAAACCTTTTTGGTAAAAAGGTTGGCAGTTCCTCAAAATTAAATATGTATTACCACTTAACCCAGCAATCTGAGTCTTAGGTATTTACATAAGATAAGCAGAAAGGCAACATTTACACAAAATCCTGTACACCAATGTTTGCAGCAGCTCTACTCATAATTAACAAAATTGGTAACAACAGAAACATTTTTTAACAGGCAAACAGATAATCTGCAGTATATTCACACATACTCAACAATACGATAAAAAGGAACAAATTACCCATGTATACAACATGCCTGACTCTCAAAAGCCTATGCTGAAAGAAACCAGACTCAAAAGGCTACAAACTACTGCTGATTTACATAACATTCTGGAGAGGAGAAGGCTGCAGGAATAGAGAGGAGATCAAAGGGCTGCCGAAGGCAAGGATCAGGAAGTGAGTTTAGCTACACAGGAATAAGGGACTTCCTTGGGGGTGGCAAACTGTCCTAACATATTCGCTGGGTGAAACTTACACAAATCAGTGCATATGTCAGAAATCACAAAACTTTACAACAATGAGAATTTGATCATAGAAAATATGAATTTTAAAATGCATTTTAATTTAAAAAACTACATAATCCTAAGGACTAAGTCTACACTCCTTTTAACTGTTGGAAAGAAGATAAATAATAAGATTTATTAAAAGGAAATTCAAAAATAAGGCAATACAAAGCATTTAAGGTAAAAATAACAACTCTTTAGCATTCAATATAAACAAATTCAGACTCACAATAGCTGGTATATGCTGAGCATTCTATGAATGCACGTGGGGGAGCAAGGTCATAAACATGCAGCAATTCTACTTCTGAAAATGTATCCAAAAGAAATAACTGAAGATCTGTGGACAGACTGAATGGTGCAACAGGGCTATGAAGTGGAGTATGATAGACTCCTTTAAAAATGGTCACAATATTCCTCTATCACTGGTTTAGAAAGATACCTATGATACACTACTGAATTTTAAAAAACATGTTACAAAATACTGTACCACACAATGGAATTTTATGTGAGAAAAACTAAAAACCTATAGAACTTTCCAGAATGTCTCACACTCCACGTGGATGAGTGAACACATCTGCAAGATTAGACAGCACAGTGTTAAACGTTTTATTGCAGGGCAATGAGATTACTACTATTTTTCAGTTTTGGCTTTTTACTTGTCTATACTTCCTAGCTTTTCACCGATAAAGCATTGTTCAGAAACTAACATTGTTTTAAAGATGCTAGAAAAGTGTCCTAAGGACTGACAGGCAAAGATCATATCCTAGGCCTGAGGTGTTCGGGAGGAAGGTGCTCCTCTTCCTAAGAAGCCCTATGGAGAGAAGGCCCAGCGCACGAAGGGCCACAGCTCTGCTGCATGAAGGCAGTTCTCAAGCCTACTTGGGGTACCAGACGGAAGTGAAGGCTAGTACCCACCTGTGTAGATGTCCATGAAGCTGTGCAGAGCCAGACAATGGGGGTTCAGACACATCTTCACCTGAGCAGTCACCACCTGCAGCCGGTTAGCTGTTAGCAGCCAGCACTCCTGGGGTCCAGCCAGGGAGCTGGTACCAAAAACACCGCCACAAAAAACAGAAGGGAAATCAGTCTCTTTATGCAGGTCGTGGGCTCAGTGATCAGTGGCAAAATTCTCAAAACTTTAATGCAATAAGGAAAGAAACAAGGGTTTTTTGGGGGTGGGTGCTTCCACTTTGCCAGAATCTAATCTATAAAACTGGCCCTACTATTAATGTTCTCAAATTCATTATTTAATCAATCCCACTGAACCCCCAAACCAAAATGTGATGCTGATCAGTCCAGATGTAATGTAAATCCTAAGCTGTTGCTAATAACTTCCAGGCACTTTCAACAGAAATGATAATTACTAATAAGGTAAAAGAAGCTAAAGGAAAGCAAAGAACATCTTCACAGGTTAGAGCTCAAAGGCAGAGAGACGTGACATGCATCAAGTGGATGGGGGAGCTAAGAGCAGACACAGTAAAGGGGTAAAGGAGAGCTTACTTTTGTCCCCCTTTGAATAATGGGCTGCTGCAGAGAAGGCACTGCGTGGATGGGGACTCATAATAATTCGACCAAGAGGTCTGCTCGATGGTGACTGTTTCCTCACTCACGTTGGACAGGATCAGTCGAGAGCTATTGAGTTCATGAATTAAGGCGAAGACCTCGGCCAGTTCCGACTCATTCTCAGGAATCTGCAAGACTTTGCGCAGCAGCTGCAGCGTGGACTGGCGCTGAATCTCCCTTTGCGCTGCACTCAGTCCATCTGGGAGTGGAGAACTCACCTCCTGCTAAGAGAAAGGATCAGTCAATGCCTGGGCATAGAACAAAGTGGCGACAGGCTAAAAGGAAACTCTCCAAGTACAGCCACCCATGATTGAGTCATGGGAAACCTAGGTTCCTGACTGCTTGCTCGTAACAGACTGTCACTAAGGCCAGTGATTTTCTGTGGGGATCAAGTTTTCCTGCCAGTAAAATGAGGATATATGCACGTCCTGGGAATGGATTCAATGGTTAGCTCTCCTACGTTAGTAGGATAACACCTTGGTTTCTGTTCTGAAGAGCTTGGTTCTTGGCTGTACATGTCTGTGCCATAGCAATTAATTTGATCTGAGGCTCAATTTCCTCACATGTGAAATGGACAAAAGTGCTACTAATCTAGTATACTAAGCTACCATATGGATGGAAAGAGGTAATGCAAGTAAAGCACACGGGACAGTGCCCGTGATTCCGTGAGAACTACGAACGGTAGTTTCCATACACTAACAGTACGTAAGGCTTAAATTATTTGTCTTTAATCCTTTATGGGTGCCAGGTACATGGCTATTTTAGACACTTGTCACAGCCCTCCAGAAACACAGCTCTGAATTATTCATTAAAAATAGGTCCTCCAGTGGATTCTTTTTCCCAGTGGAGGTTTCTCCTGATCCTTTTTGCCAATGCAGCACGATCACTCCCTCCTTTTATTCCTCAAGTGCTTCCCTTTACTGCAAGAGTCACCATTTCAGTTGCTAAGCAACCATTGGTCCTCTTCAGTGAGGACAGGGTCCCTGCTTACTTTTTCATTCCCAAAGCTAGCATAAGGCCTGAGTTACAAAAGATGCTTTCATACTTGCTGGACATGTCATATACTTTCTTGTAGAAACTAATTCTTAAAAACAAGGACAGTCAAAAATTAACTATGCATACTTATGATAACTTTTGTCTCACTGCTTATAATAACAGGTTATCTGTCTTTTCCCAATTAAACTGCAAGCTCTTAAGGGAACAGGCCATGTCCTAATTCAACTCCGATGGCCTTGTCCATAGATGGCATTCAATGTATGCTAGCAGAAGGAATACGAAAGCACTAATTAATTCAGGAGACCTGGTGGACACTAGAATAAGTTGTTTTAGGAGGCTGCATGTCCCCAAGTATGACTATAATGAACCATGAGCCTGAAGACCATGTAGCAGGAATACTATCCTCTAGTACCAAGCCAGAGATAAAGGACAGAAAAGCCTGAATGCCATCTCAGACTTGAGACACTGTGATCTTAATGACAGCAGATGAAGACAAATCGGACAGGAAATGTACAGCCACCAGGTAGCTCCAAAGGGTAACATACACAAAGGCCCTGATTTCTGACCAAAGTCTTGTATTTTAGAAAACAGTCTGATGGTGAGGTAAGGTCTAAAGATGAGGATTTTAAGGGTAGGCAGTTATAAGTTAACCGAAGACAGAGGAATATAAGGATGGGAATCAACTGGCAAAAGGTCTTGTTTGACCTGATACAAGAAGTCTCTTTATAACCTTAGACCTAGAAAGCAATACTCATTTCCATACTGTAAATTGCACAAATAGCCAAATGAAATGGGAAGCAAAAGGAACGTTCAGAGTATCTACCTACACAGAATTTGTTGGGAGCCGCGTCTGTGATAGCTCGCCTTGCGCGGCGGACGTGCGGCCTGTGGTAAAGAGCAAAGCCTGAGGTAGATTACCCCTCCCATCGAATATGTTAGTTTCCTGCTTACCGCGTAAACAACCCGCTCAACAATATAGTCTGCCTGGCAACTGATGATGTTAGCCAATCAGCTTGCCTTGCTTACTTTAACATGATTGGACACTGTACCCGTATATATACCGGTGCCACCCCTGGGCGGAAGAAGAAGCCAGGTAGAAGCCCAGAAGTAAAAGCCCAAAAGGAGCCGCGGAGAGCGGACCGGTAGAGGCTTTGGGGCAGACTGAAGCACAAAAGGAGCCGCGGGGAGCGGACCAGAGGAGGCTTCAGCTGGGAGAACCCAGGGCAGGCTGTACGGAGAAGGAAAATAAAAAGAAAAGGTTGTCCACTACCAGACTTTGTCGTGTGTCCTTCCTGCCGGCCGGGAGCGGACATCGACAAGAATTCAACTCCATCACCTAACTACAGCTCCACACACACAGGCAGTTCCACTTAAAAAGTGTTAACTTAGAAAGTGCCTAGAAAAGATTATAGTCCCCTACAGAGTTAAAAGAAGCATTTAATAAATGGTAACTGATGCTATGGAAGAGACTTAACATGCGTAGAAAACCTAGGAGAAAGCTTAATTCTAGCAGAAGGCATAAATTAACGTACAGGTCCTGGACCAGGTCTTAGAGATAAGAGGATGTAAATCCCACTCTTCCATGTACTATTTAAGGTCTGGGCTGCCATTCTCATTAGTCATTGAATTCTTGGGTCTTAGACATCAAGGACCTGATTACTATGGTTTGAATGTGTCCCTTCAAATTTCATGTGTTAGACACTTAATTCCCAAAGTAACTCACTAATGGAATCTGAGGTGGAACTTCTGAGAGATGATAGGGACACAAGAGCTCTGCCTTCATGAATGGATTAATCTACAGATTAATGACTTGAAGAGTTATTGCAGAAGCAGCTTTGGTTTTAGAAGTGAGCACTCTCTTGGTTCTTGTTCTGAGTAGCTGATTATCCAATCTCAGGTATTTTGCTATCTCAACAGAAAACATACTAAGACACTGGTGGACCCCTCACCTTGGCAAGGAGGACACAGCTCAGAGAGAAGGTACTTGCTCAGGTTCAGAACTTACAACCTGGTTCTGGTCCTGATGTTCTAGATACCAGTCATGTATCAAGAAATCCTTTCATTCTACTGAAACAGACTCACAACAGAGCACAACCCAAGGCCAGGGGACATGTTTGGGGAACTCACAAGAGTCTTGGTGGTTTTCTCAGTCCGGTCTTTGGCAAGGTTAAAACCACAGCTAGGACAAATCCGAGGTTTGTGCCGGTTAGTATAGACATAGCTGCAAGAAGGATTCTTGCACTTTCCCCTGCCTCTTGACGTAGCCAAGCCCAAATCCTGAAAAAAGGTAAGGTCAATGTTCAGCGCTATAGAAGTTAGGTCAAACAAGCTGTCGGTAAGCCAGACATGAAAGTGGCATAAAACCACACAAATCAGATGTAGCCTAACTTCTAAAATGTCTTGAAGTGAGATTCCTTTTCTGTAATGATTTTTAACTTTAACACAGGCTACATAATCGATTAAACAAGTATGATGATTCTCAAGGGTCAGAAATTCAAATGTCTTCAAGGTCCAGGCAGCAGGTAGAATAAAGCAATCTGTTCAAAAGAAGAATGCTACACTGTAGCAAACTAAAGGTTTCTAAAGATTTCAGTCCTAGAGGATGGAAGGGTATAGCTTCCATGGCAGAGCTCTTGCTTAGCACGCAGGACCCCCTCATGGTCTCCACTCAGCATCAAAGAGGGAGAAAAGATTTCAAGCCCTACCTAAGGTAAACTGTGACTTGGATTAATCTTAAAGCTTTAACATCTAAGTTTCTATGATAAGTTACTACTAATCAGCCTAAGAGAGAATTCTGGGCAGTTTTCATAGATGGTAAACCTAGCAGCCTCCTATAGCCAAAGACAGGAGGATATGCAGGGCACGAAGAAGCAAAGTCATTAGTTCTCCATGAGAGGAGGTTTTCTCTTTAGGGATGCAGCCAGACTGGGCGTCATTAACCCACCAACTGCTGTCCTGTTCATTCTCTCTATCTCTCTCATATCTCTCCATTTCCCTCTCTCTCCCTCCATATATAAAAATGTATACTATATATTCATAAATATATGGGTATCATATATTTTTGTATCTTATATTTATTTATTCCTTTTTTGTGCTGTCCAGGCTGATCTTTATGAGCTAAATAATCCTATCTTAGCTTCCTTCTCCATACCACAGAATGTACTATGGTACCTGGCTAATAAATATTTTTTGAATAATGAAAGACCCTTTATGAACTTGTCTGTATTCTTGCAAAATCTGTTCATCTCACTGAAATCAAATAAAGTGCCAAAACATATCTGGCTGGTTGTTACCTTATGGATCAGCAGAGCTGGAGAACAACAAGCGTGATAGAAACCTCAAAGACACCTAAATCAATATAGCATTTTCTAGCTGGTGAAACTGAGAACTAGAGAGGAAAGTCTTGTCTTAGGTCATATGGCATCTTAGCAGTAGAGCCAGAACACATTTACAAGCCTTTCAACCCTTTCACTGCTCCATGCTGTGGAGTTATAAAATGATGACCCCACAGTCACATATTCACCTCCTGGGATGTTAACATGTGTTATGTTAAAAATAAAAGGAGAAGGGGAAGGGAGAACTCTAAGGGGAAGTACTAGGCCAGCAATGGCAAATCTTTTGGAACTTTCAATAACACCAACAGCCTGCTACAGCACGCATGCAGTGGGTTTGCTACCACTAGGTTCAACAAAATAAACTGTTTTACTTTACTAAAGCACTATTCAAACCCTTTAGAAACTAGTTTTTGAATGTGTGTTTTGGGAAAGACAACATGCTGTAACTCTGTCTATACTTATTTGTGAACCACACCTTCTAGGCTAAGAGGTTCAAAGACTACTGAATTTAAACCTGGATTCTCATCTTTGACTATTCTGAATAAAAATATGCTCATCTCAGCTACCTTGTGCTTTACAGCTACCTGGGAAAAAAACCCCACAATGATCTAGCAGATTCCCTGTGCAGCTATTATTTGTACCAGTTTTGGGAGTTTCAGCATCAATGATCATATGTGACCCTTCTCTCGCTCCCAGTACCTCAACCTGTCCACTAGCCTCCACCACACCCTCGACCCCAAAGTCTACCCAGCACCAGCTGCACACTTACCAGGGTGACGGTGCAGCTGTACTTATATGGAGGAAACATATCAGGCTTGACCTCTACAACCTTCACCTGGGACGTTCTATTGTTTGGGCCACTCGGTAGCTGTGGATTAAAACAAGTTATTTAGTGCGGCTTTTTACTTGAGCCTAGGTTTTTAGTTTTGTTCCTAAAACAACTTGAGGAAATAGAGTCCTAGGCAAAAATCGGTAGATGTGCTCTTTGAGCCCTCTGCGCTGCTAATTGGCAGTCACTGGCCCACCAAAGAACACTGTGTAAGTCCAGAGATTGTGACCTCTCTGTATAGCTTCTAACACTGTGTATTAGAAACACCATAAATCAAATTTACAACTACAATCAGGTGGTAAAAGAATGTAACAGTGATATATACATATACATATGATTGAACAATTTTAGCACATAAGTCATCTAAAAACTATTCACAGGTGTCATTGGCAGAGAGAAAGACTGTCATTTTCCCTCTTTACCACCATTAATAAAATCGTCCAACGTTCTTTAGGGAATGTACATTTTACTTCTACAATTAACAAAGAAGAAAAAGATAAAAGAAGGCATTCTAAATTAAAATTATCCTGTAACAGTGAATTTAGGTTAATTTTCAGAAAGTAAGATTTCATGTTACCTGTTAACTGATTCAAGAACACCAAGAGTTCGTGGTTTTTAACAAATATCCAGAGGTGCTGAGCAAAGGGAAACTACAGAAAAAGTGACAGTATGTATATGAAGGGATTCTATAGGAGCTGAAAATTAACCAGATATCTTTGTTCACATTGCAAGATTACACACATACACCCAGAGTTGCCACTACCATCTAGGTAGCAGACAAACAGTCCTTCAAGTAAAAGCCCACTGATATTCAAAGCAGTATTTTATGAAGACATACATTTTATGTAAGTGACTACATATAAAGGGAAAAAAAATTTTTTTTGGTGGAATTGGAGATTGAACACAGAGGTCCTACATAGCACCAGGTCTTTTTAAGTTTTTATTTTGAAATAGGGTGTTGCTAAGTTTCCCAGGCTGAACTCAAACTTGTGATTCTCCTCCCTCAGCTTCCTGAGCAGCTGTGATTATAGCCACCATGCCTGGTTCCCACATTTTTAATGTGTATATTTACTGGCTGCAAAATGAAAATCTTTTCTTACTGTGCTGTGTAGTGTGACTCAATGGTAAGAGCGCTGCCTAGCATGCACGAGGTCCTACATGCTATCCTCAGCACCACAAACATGTCCAAAGAAACAGACATACACACACAAGAAAAAAACGTGTGTTACCTTCAGGTCATGTTAAGTTTGGGAAATGGTGATTTAGAGACATTGGCAATAATTATTCTGGCCACACATGGCCTTAAAAAAAGTCTATCCAGTAATGCTTTTATTCTTTGTTTAGAGTGGTTTTAGTCTGTTTTGTATTCTTTAATTTCAATATATATAAAGATATGGACAGCTATTTTGAAGAGAACAAGAGACATTATGGTAGCCATTGTTGATTTTCCTATTGTCTGGCTTTGAAGGCCTATAATGCTTTCATTCTTCTGTTTTGATCAGTTTTATACTACTTTGTTTTGTTTGAATTCTTCGTGTGTGAAGATATAGACAACTACTTTGAAGAAAACAAGAGACATATGGTAGCTACTGCTGATCTCCTGTTGTTTTGCTTTGAAACCTTGTGTCACTTGCATTGTATTCTTCTGATCTGCTTTGTTCTGTTTTGTTTTATCCTCTTTAAAATAAAAAAATAAAGTCTAAGAATAAATACATTTGAATACACAGATTACAGATTTTGGGTTACATAAACAGTCTCAAAACACGAGAGAGCTAGAGAGAGCTAGAGAGAGAGAGAGAGAGAGAGAGAGAGAGAGAGAAACTTCAGTTGACCAATGAGGACAGAAGTCTCCAGACATCCAAGTGGGCAAATCCCTGGCTGCACCCCCCCCCCCTTGGTACCAGGGATCGAACTCAGTTCAGCTAATATCTTAATAGGTGACTTTGGGTAAAGTGTATATGGGTATTCTTTATAGTGCTTTTATTTGGGGGCATTTTTTTATTGTTCTAAATTATACATTATTTCTAAACAAAAGGCTTGGAAACATACATTCAGTTTAAAAACCGAAATTACTTTACAATAGAGAAATTATTCTGCTTACCTCGCAGAAGTCTACCATTGCAAATTCTGGGGTCTGAGGCCTGCTTTTTGCACAGGCGTTCTAAATTGTTCCAGAGAAGTGGCCAGATGCCCACACAGCCTCTGCTCTGGGGAATGGGTCTTACCTTCACTTCACTAGTGCTAGATGACTGCTGCATAGGCTGGCCCAGCTGCTTCAATGTGCTTGGCTTCAGGCCGCAAGTCCTGACAGAGGAAGTCTTATCTGAGAGAGCCAGGAGACAAACTGGTAACTTTTGTGCATTTGGGCTCCCCACTTTTCACCTCCCTGCTCCACTTCACGCCGTCCCACCGGGAAGCCTTCCTCCCAGGTCTGCTTCATACTTACCACTCAGGGAAAAGGCCTGCCTGCCCCTGGGTAGTCCCACGCTGCTGCCTCGCCCCACATTAGCTGGGGCTGGCAGAATCGCTCTCATGGGTCTTGCTGCAGCCAGTAATGAGGGCTTGCCTCGGGCTCTGCTTTTAAGCTCTGGGGTTCTGGGCCTAGTGGTGAATAGGTCAACTCTGAAAAAATTTAAAAAAAATTTTTTTAGATGAAAACCAAAAAGAAAATCTGAAAATTCTGATCTAAGAAGGTAGAAAACCAAAGCACAATCTCCGTATAGCACTTTTTTTTGGTACCAGGAATTGAATTCAGGGGCTCAAGCTTGCTAGGAAGGCTCTGGGCCAATGAGCTATATCCCTAGCTCTACACAGCATTTTACTAGAGGAGTAAGTGGTTAAAATACCAGGTTTTAGAAAGATTTTTGCTGTGTGCACTGATACATGCCTATAATGCCACCAAATCAGTAAGATGAGGCAGGAGGACTGTAAGTTCAAGGCCAGCTTGGACAACACAGTGAGACGTCTTAAAAACAACTGGAAATGTAGCTCAATAGAACAAGGCCTATGGGTTCCATCCCTGCTGCAGAGGGAATTCATCCATTATATAGCTGAGTGACCCTGGACAAGTAATTCTACTCTTCCATTAATCTTAATTTCTTATGTAAAATAGGACAGTAACTATTTACACTTTAAGGGTCATTAAAAAGACACAAAATATAATATGGAGCCAGATAACTTCTTATTGCTGACATTACTCAGTGTGTTGAAGGGTATTTAACATTCCTCTAGATGCTGGCAACAAGTTCGCCAAAAATGCCTCTGAACAGTGCTAAAATGTCCCCTGGGAGTAAAGTTGCTCCTACATGAGAAAGAACCATGATATAAACAAATAAGGGCCTTCAGTTACACGAAAAAAACAGTGCTAGAAAGGGCTACATGCTGAATCCAATTAAGCCATAGTAATGAAAGAAAAGGTAAGAAAAAGCCCAACTTAATGACTTTGGCCTATTTGTAAGTCAATAGGTTTGTATAGTTTACATATACCCTTTTTCAGTCTGCACAGTTAGCCTATGAGATGAGGACTTTTCAGAAGAAAGAACTCAAGTCCAGGAGCATGAACTGACTATGCCCTCAAACAAGGCCTTTTGTTAAAACTAGAACTAAATCTTCCAGGAAGAACTTCTTTTATACAGTACCTTAACAAGGATTCTCTTTCTAGACCCCACGTCCAGGGCTACTGACTCATAGTCTGTCACACTGCCCACAGCCTACATTAATAAAATTCTAACAACTGCTCTAGGAGTTTCAGAAAGGCAAATCATTACATGTCTCTAGGCCTTGATTTTTCTTTTTCTACAAAAGGACCCATTAACTGGCCTCTGCTGCCTCTCTCATGAATGCTGTAAAGACAGGGACAAAGCACACCAGCTGCTACTCTAATACACTCCCAGTAACACATTCACGATGACTTACCCTGTGGGCTTTTTAGGAGCAGGGAGTTGGGTGGAGGTGCTGGTACCCTCAGCTGCTGCTGGTGGTATTTCTACTCCACAACTGTCCTTCTCAGTTGTCCCCAGAGTGGCTTCAGGCTTGACAACTGGTGTCTTAGTGACTGCTGTACCGCAGATCCCAGGAGCTTCCTTAACCAAAATATGGGCATCGGAGGTGATTGCTTCCTCCCATTCCTTCTCCTCACCCACTTCTCTTGGAGGAGCTACATTTAAAAGCTGGCTTACAGCTTCTGAATTCTCCAGAATCAGTTTGCAGGCATTTTCCTTGGAAGAATTCTGCTCAGGCGGATGATTTCTTTTAATCACAGAACCTTTGGAGGAAATGCCTGAAGCCAATTCCACTTTGACTCTGGCTGGCTTTTCCTAGAAAAAATAAGAATACTTTATATGCATAAGGCATTTTACACTGACAACATTCACATATATTTTCATTTGATTCTCTGAATACTAATATATGGGCAATATCCAGAAAATGAAATCCAAGAAGAAAAGGCTAACTTAATGTCCCAATTATAAAACTGGTATGAATCTAAGTCTTCTGATTGCAGGGTCTTCGGGAGAAATTTCTTACTAAATCTTGGGATTGTTTGGTTTGATTTCTGAGTGCTCAAAGGCCAATTTTCTGTGTCTAGAAAGAGGCTGACATATTGCCACATGGGATCTAAAAGCTGTTCACCCTGGTGGTGCTTTTATGAGGTTCAGTCATTTCCAGTATGGTCACAACTTCACATTAGTGTTTCCATGTCCTTCAGGAAAACCTTATCTTTCAGGTAAATTTTCTATTTTGTTTGTGTTGCAGTGCTAGCAATCAAACCCAGGGCCTCTTTATGAGATGCAAGTGTTCTCTCACTGAAATACAACCTAACCCCCTCAGCAACTTTAAAATGACTTACACATGTGCTGTTGTGATTGGCAACTGGCAGTCAACACCAGATGAACTGAATCAGCGTGTGTGCCTGTGGATGGCCGACCTGAGGACTGTTGCCAACAACAAAAAAGGAGCACTGGAAAGGTAACAGTGTTGTTGTATAGTACTGTTGGTTCTCCTGTGGCTATTGGTTCTCCTGCAGGACCTTGTGAGCTTCTTTCCTTACACAAACTTGGCTGTCCCCACTATCAGAGGAGCTCAGGACCTCACTGTCACTGAGAATAGCTGCAGTTCACTTTGGGGGAGCTCTGGTCCTTATTTTGAGCATACATCATTTCCTGCCTCGGAGGGGAAGATGGTGTTTTGTTCAACCTCCTGGAGAAGTTTGTCACATTGGCTTCCTGATATGAACTCAGCTGTTCTCATTGTTGGACAAGTTTGGGACTTGCTGTCACTGAGGATGGCTGTCGTACTTTTCAGGAGGGTTCTGGTCCTTAATTTGAGTGCTGCTTCCCGGCTGCAGTGTAGATCCCTCAGCCTGCTGGCACAGATACTTTATCCCACTACCACAGATTTTATAGCTTCCACCACTGACCTTTGGACCTTTCCAGACTTGCATGAGACACTGTCATGGGCTCTAGGCCTCTAGCTGTACTGATGGGGGGCACTGTCTAGGTCTTCGGCCGGACTCATGTAGGATGTTGTCATGGGATCCAGGCTCACCTGGATTCTTTGGGTCTTAAGTGTGGGGATAGATTTCCTTGACTCTTTGGGTGACCATGATAAAATAATACTATAAGTTATGTGTCCTGTATTGTTTTGTTTTCCTTGCAAACCCTGACTTCAGCATATGCCATCTAACTTCACTTGGTCAAACTAACTCATATATATTAATTGTGTGCTAGAAAATATTCAAGTTTGCTTAAAAAAAATGCAGCTGCTGTCTCAGATCTACTGTTAGGATGTCTTAGCTTTTATCCAGTCAGCACCACTACAGAAAAACAGCATTTACACACACACACACACACACACACACACACTCTCTCTCTCTCTCTCTCTTTTTAAACAGTGATTTTCTCTGGAGTAGATTTCAGAAAGTTTTCTTCCTTCCAAATACATCATGCAAGGTACCATAAACTAGGAGATATGAGACATAAAAGCTGGATTCTATTACTCAGCTTCACTCCTAATTAGTTATGTGGTTTAAGGAAAGATTCATAAATCCTCACTTTTCACCATGAAAACCAGAGGATTGGGCTCTCAATGTTTGTCAAAAAAAGCAACACACCACTTTGGGTAAACAAATTCTTCACTGTGCAGGGGCATAAACTCAAAATTATGGTCCTGTTACAAACCCACATTTTCAAAATCACCTGGACAGTGTACTTTCCCTGATCTTTAAGAACTTGCCAGGAAAACATTTTCAGAGTCTAACACATGAAGATGAGCAAACATTTAGTTCCAGCTGAACTTCATAGAAGCTTATTTACTTCAGGACAGAGAAAAGCCAGCAAAGAAACAAGAGACTAAAGTCGTATCTTAAGATGTGATCTGTGAACAAAACACTGCCTACTAAAGCAAGCTATTTCAGACAAAAATCCTCTGCATAAAGAATGATGTAAGATAGTTGAGCAAAAACACTACCTAGTGATCTCAACATTTCCGTATCTCCGCCTACCCTCTATCCTTTTTGGTGCTGGGGATGAAACCAGGGAGTACTCATCACTGAGCCACATCACCTGCTCCCGACCTATACCCTTTTAGTGTGTGAAGGGTGCTTAAGATTGAACCCAGGGCATCTGCACTAAGCTACATCCCTATTGATTTTTAAATTTTTACACAGGGTTTCACTAAGTTACTAAGTCACCCATAATGAGAAAATATGATCCTATCTCAGTCTCCCAGAGGGATGAGATTACAGGTGTGTGCCACTATTCCTGGTCCAACCCACACTTTAGATATTGCTTTCTCTCAAGATGCAAAGTAAATACAATAGTTGCCCACTCACAGGCCTTAATTTCTGCCATCAGAGTCCCTACAAATGAAACCCTGAACTTACTTTATACACTCTTCTTTGGCCCCATCCAATTCATTGGGAACTATGCCACACATTTGGGTTAATTTTAGTCAGTCTGAACTCTGTGACAATATAAGAATAAATGAGTCATTTCTTGACTGGCACAGGCACCTTTGGAGTTTGTACAAATGATTTATATTTATAGCCTTAAACATCAGAACTAAGAGATTTAAGATTTTGTAGTTAACAGCACAGCAATCCCTGAGCAGTATGACTCAGTAGAAAAGGTGCTGGCCAAGTCATCTGCATGAACCTCACGGATCACTTCTCTTTAGTCTATTCTTCTTCAGCTAGAAACGGAAGAACTGATAACCAGTCATTTTTACCTCTAAGTGCTCAGCTACTGAAATGTCACCTTTTCTATCTCACTCATTTGAATATTGGAGAAGGGAAGAGTCTGACTGAGCAAGTCAAGAAGCGGGTGGTAGATAAGGAAAAAAACTTTTCATGGAGAAACCACGAAAACATGCTTCATTCACAGTTTCTTTCAGTAAGAGAACCACGATTCAAACACTTTCAGCCAAAAAAAAATAAACACACATGGCGTGCGCATATGAGAAGTGCCAAAGTTCAAAGTAAAAACAGGCCAAAGAGAGAAGCCCATCTTGATTACCTCCCTGAAAAATAAAGGACCCAAAGTCATTTCATAGAGGTGTTTCGCGCTGGTGAAGGGCCAAAGAGGATTCTGAATGTCACCCAACTTAACATCCCTATTGTAACTGGCAGAGCACATCTTTGGGGAACAGAGTAGGAATAAATGGATGGCTTCAAAAGCACACCAGAGAAAAAGGGCTCAAGAACTCAACAGAACCTCCTGAGACACTAGCACTAGGTCCTTCCTAAGCCCAGCGATGACATGAACAGTAATAACAGAGCTATAATTACACTAATGTTAGCTATGATGACAGGGTACATTTTACTGAGGATTTAATATGTATAAGAAACTCCAACCACTCTACATGGATAATTTACTTGAGCCGTCCAAAGACCTTAATGAGTTCAATACTGTTATGAACTTCTGTTCACAGATAAGAAGAAACCTAAACAAGAAAAAGGTGTGAGTTGTCCTAGGTCATAGTCATCCTAGGTCACACAGGTAAGAACTTGGGAAGCAAGTCTCAAATGAAGAACTCCAGAACTGTATTAATTATTGCTCGTGTTTGATTCTTAGGAATCCCCTAAGGGTCCACGTGGAAAAGGCTTGTCCTTCAAAATAGTGCTATTAGGAGACTGTAGTGCCTTCAAATGGTGGAAATTAGTGGAAGATTCTAGATCAGTGGGAGTGTACACTTGGACAGAATTGTGGAGCCCCATTCACCTCCCCTCTCACTTCCCAGTCATGGGGTAAGCAGTTTTGTGTCACCATACCGTCATCATGGTGTGTCTTGTAAAGGCACCAAAACAATTCTGCCAACTGATCTCAGACTGTAAAAGTTATAGTACCTTCTTGTCACTGGGACAAAATACCTGACACCAAACTTTAAGGAAGAGAGGTCTATTTTGGTTGATAGGTTTAGTGGGTTGATTTCACAGTTATTTGGCTCCATAGCAGAAACAGCACGACAGAATCACATGGTGAAGAAAAGCTGCTCAACGCATGGCACCCAAAAGCTTGGGGAGAAGAGAAAAGTTGAGGTGAAGAATACACCTTACCTTCTTGGTCATGTCCCCACTGACCTGTTTCTTTTGACCAACCCCCAGTTTTGAACACCTGATACTTTTGGGGACATTTTAGATCTAAACCATGGGCTAAAACCTCCAAATTCTAAGCCAAAATAAATCTTGTCTCTGTATCTCAGGGGAACATGCTGAGTTAACCACGACAAGCCAGTTTTATAAAACCTAGGCCAGAAGTGGCAAACCTATGGCACATGTGGCACACAGGCACTCAGAGCTCTCTCTGGCGCCATGAGACCCAAGTGTATGAGTTGTTTTTTCTAAACTAAAACCTCAGGATTCAGCTTTAACTGAAGTGATGGCACTTTGAAAAGGATAAATGGGTTGCAGTTTGAGCACCAGTCTCTGAAGGGTTCACTGTCACTACGTAGGCAAATGCTACTGATCCTTCAAAGCCATACTGAACTTTCCTTGCCCATTCCAGTCCTGTCTGAGCTCACTGAGAATTAACATGTATACCATATGTATTTTGGACCTAAAAATTTAGTATCAGATGAAAAGCATGGGAAGAAGTATATTTTATCTAGTCAGTGTCAAATATACAAGTTAACAGAACACACTGCATTGCATCTCATGGGAACCTAACTGTGATGCTCATTTATTTACTGAGCATCTTGTATGCTAAAAGCTGTAGGGCGTTTAAAGGTCATTATGGAGGTCACAACATGACATAAACAGAAACACTGTCAAACTGTAATGACTGCTAAGTAAGTGTTAAAGGTATAGAGAGAAGTCATCCAAACCTAGAGATATTTTAGGGAAGAATAAGCATTTATAATGAGTTATGATCCATTACAGTACTATGTACTTACTTTAGACACATGATAACCAATTAGTTGATAAGCAAGAGAGACAAGAGGAAAGAAGGGAGGGAGTGTGGAAGGGATAGAGAGAGGAGGAATAGAGGGGAGGCAAAGGCATATATTGTAAATATAATGTTAGATTACAGGAGCCAGATCTGTAATCCCAGTTCTTGGGAGGCTGAGGCAGGAGGATCACTGTGAGTTTGACGCCAGCCCAGGCTACATAGTGAGCTCAAGTTCAGCCTGAACTGTATAGTGAGACCCTGTCTCAAAGAACAAATAAAACAAAACAAACAGGAAAGTGATCCATCCCTAAGGGCAACAGAAAGCTTACTCTGTTGGGCTTCCAAAGCAATGTGAGCCAAAGGACCTTACCTTTGGGATCCACTTTCCTCCTAGGAAGTTACCACAGGCTGGGCACTTAGGTGGTTTATGCCTGGTGACATATGTAAAGGAACAACCTGGACTAGTGCAAGTCCCATGGCCCCGGCGGGTATAGGTAGTGGTCTGTTAAAAAACAAAAGTATCAGAAGGTCAGCACTGCTAGAGTCCTAACATACAAGTCCTTCTTTTCAGAAGCCAAGAAACTTGAGTCCACAAGGTGAAAGACAGAAGCTCATGATTAACACAGTTAAGTACCAGAAGAATGAAGGCACTAGTAGTTACTGTTAATTGAGCAACCAGACAATGCTAAACACTAACTGACAAGAACTCATTTAATACTCTCAGCAAGGTTTTCAGTAGGCTGTATGACTACTGAGGTTCAGAGTAGTTACAAGCCGAGTCTCAAAGTGACTCAGGGCAAGAGCATACCCCAGAATTTACACCTGGATTTTGGGTGAGCAAATACTTCTATGCACCTCACCACACCTTCTGGCTCTAAGTACTTCAAAAAATTTGATTCATCTTTATTCTTTGTAGTTAAAAATCAGAGAACCCAGGACCTTAGAATCAGGATATAAAATAGACCCATGGTCACTGAAGAAAAAGACAAAAGAAAGTCCAGGAATAGAAACCAGGTCCTTTGATAACAGGAATTAAGTTATTTGCATATGAATACATTCAGCCACTGCCTGCGCCATCTCTGCTGATCTCCCTTTCAGCAAAATGTATCACAATGGGTTATTACACTCCAGAAACAAATAAAAGCCACTCATTCATTGGACATGGCCCATTTCTAGATTAATGCTGGAAAGAAAATATTCCTCTGTAAGATGTGTTGTCACTTATAAACGTTTATTCAGCGAGTATTCCCAGCTTCCCTAGTCTGGCCAAAAAGCAAAAATCTCTCTTGGGAAACAACAAACTACCTCAGCAACCTCTGCCAGGAAGCTTACAGAAAAGCTGATTAGTATACTGGTACCAACTCAAAGACGATGCAAAGAGATGTGGCACCAATGAAGGAAACCAGTCTTTAAGTTTGAACTTTGCCACTTACACTGAATGACCTGGGAGTCAATCACCTCTACTTACAGTCCGGTTTCCTCTTCTGTAAATCTACCTGCTCTTCCCATTTCACAGGTATGTCTCAAGGAGTATGTGGTAAAGAATTAGTAAACTGTGAAAGATTATATAGGTTTGTGAGAAACTATTATTACTGAGATGTAACACATCTCTATCTTTTAAGACTGTTGCCCATTACAAAGTCTTACTGAACATTCCCAGGAAGCAGAATAAAAATTTCAGAACCCTTAGATCTCTGAATAAATTAATACGAACCTGGAAATACTCCTAGAGTAGACTACAGAAATGATTTTGGAAAAGAAATGCTAGTATTCTATGCTGATGTTTTAGTAGCTAATATTATCCATAATGAATTTTTCTAGAAGATCTTGGTTGATACTTCATTTTTTTTCTGGAGTTTTTCATTTGGTTTTGTTTTTTTTTTTAAGACAGGGTCTGGCTATATAGTCCAAGTGGGCCTAGAGTTTATAATCTTGCCTCACTGAAAGTGCTGGGATTACAGGCATGCACCACCATGCTGGCTTGGCTAACATTTTTTAGAGCATAACAGAACAATCAATCATTCCTTTTGTTGTTATTTTGTTTTTTGAGACAGGGCCTTACTATGTAGTTCAGCATGGCCTTGAACTCACTATGTAGCCTAGGCTGGTCTCAAACTTGCAGTGATCCTCCTACCTCAGCCTTCCGAGTGCCAGAATTATGGGTATGTACCACTACCTCTGGCAAGAACATCCTTTCCAGGAGCACAAGGGCTCAAGACAAATAGCTTTTTCTCCATGAATCAAGCTGCAGTGGCTGTTCCTATTTTAAGATACAACTGTCTTAACCAAAAGCATTCTGTTTAACCAAGTAATTATCCAAGGTCTACAGTTCCAGCTACTTGGAAAGGTGATGTGAGAGGATCACGTAACAGTCCAGGAGCTGAAAACCAGCCTGGGCAGTGTAATGATCACCATCTCAAAAAACAACAATAAAAATCCCACAAAGAATATATTGTTTACCTGTAGCAGGGCTTTTTATAGGTAAAACAAAACTGTGATAATTTAAAAATGCATACTACTACTCTAAAGAAACTACTAAAATAACCAAAATAAAGTCAACAGATATTAAGCCATTAAAATGGAGAGAATATGGATTCATAAAAATGCATTTCGTGAAAGGATACTAAAACAAATGGAACAAATAGTTAACAGATCTAAACCTAACTATACCAATAACCATGTTAAACATTAATGCCTTAAATTCTCTTTGTAAAAGATACATTGTCTGATCCTGCTTTTGTATCAAAACTATATCCTATCTACAAGGGGGGAAAAAAGGAAAATCTCAGCACCTGCCTGGCAAGCATAAGGTCTGGAGTTTGAGTCCTAATACACCCTTTCCAAAAAAAAACAACAAACACGAAAATCCATTTTGAATACAAAGACATAAACTGGTTAGAAGTGAAACAGTGGAAAAAGGTATATTATACTAATAAAAAATTTTAACGTCACATAAGATTTTAGAGCAATGACTATTACTAGAGATAAAAATGGTCATTTCATAATAACACAGGTCAATTCATCAAGAGCACATAATGACTCAAAAGGAGTTAAAATATATGACACAAAAAGCAACAGAACTGTAAGAAGAAATAGACAACCCACCCTGAACCCCTTTGTCTCTATTAGAAGTTTTCTTTCCCCATAAATAGATTCTGCTCTAAAGAGAAAAAATACTCAAATCTGTAACAATGGCTGGACGCCTTTTTTCAATAATTGGTAGAACAGGTAAACACAAAGTTAAGAAGGGTATAAGAAATGCTGAAAAGCATCATCAATCAAACTGACTTACTTTGAAATGTATAGGACTGTAGATTATAGCTCAGCAGCGCCTGCCTGGCAAGCACAAGGTTCTGGGTTTGATTTGTGGTATCCACAAAAAAAAAAAAAAAACCTTTCAAAATTTGACATGTATAGAATACTCCAACAGAGAAACTACATTCTCTTGAAATGCACATAAAAGTTACCAAGATAAACTAAACTGGGCCATTAAATAACTCTCCATAAATTTGAAGAGAGCCAAGCATTATAAACCATAAAGCTCTGGTCACAAAAGGAATTATAAATCAATAACAGAAATGTATCTAGAAAATCTCCAAATATTTAGAAAATAAGTAACATGCTTCTATGTAAGTCATGGGTCAAAGAAGTAAATCAAAAAGTATTTTGAACTAAAACAAAATAAAAAATACTGTATCAGAATTTGTGCCCAGGGATTTAGCTCAGCAGCATAACCATCTGCCTAGCAAGTGGAAGGTCATGAGTTCAATCTCTAGTACCAAAAGCAGTATTTAGCGGGAAATTTGTAACACTAAGCATCTGTATCAGAAAAGAAAACAGGTAAGAGTGAGCCAGGCACGGTAGTGCCTGTAATCCCAGCACTCTGGAGGCTGAAGCAAGAGGATCGCCATGAGTTCAAGGCCAGACAAGGCTATAGAGTGAGTTTAAGGCCAGCCTCAACGATATAGCAAGATCTTGTCAAAAAAAATAAAACGAACTACACCAAAAAAGAAAATAGAAAAGAGCAAATGATCAGTGAAATAGAAGGCAAAAGAAAAAAATCCGTGATACCAAAGCTCTAGCTAGGCTTCTTAGGGAAAAAAGAAGACTCAAATTATCAGTAACAGGAACTAGAAATGAAATCATTATCAATGATATAAATATAAAAGGATAAAAGTTCCTCAAAAGTTTAAACAAATAACCATGTGATCCAGCAGTTTCACTGTTACATACTCAAAAGAATATCATGGAGGGATTCAAACTAATACTTGTAGAACTAAGTCAAGTAGCATTATATACAGCAGTCAAAATGTGCAAACAATCCAAATGCCTGTCAACAGATGAATGGAAAAACAAAATGTGGAATAGATACATAATGCAGGATTAGTCATGAAGATAAAATTCTCACACACAGCAAGACAGATGAACCTTAAAAACCTTCAGTGAAAAGGCTTCACACAAAAGTACAATTACTTGCCCAGTTTCACTTGTGAGGTATCTAGAACATAAACCATAGAAGGTAAAACAGGTTCTGCGCAGATGAAAGGCAGGATGTTGAGTTACTATCTAATGGGTATACAGTTCCTATTTGAACAATGAAACAATATATTTAATGCCACTGTATTGTACACTTAAAATGTTTAATAAATTTCACATCATGTATTGTTTTACTACAAATTTTTTAAAAAGGGAAACAAGGGATTTTGTTGTATCAATTCAACTGACAATCTAAAAAATGATGAATTCCCTGAAAGACCAAATATCAAAAGCTCACTCAAAAATACTGTATTACCTACTAATAATCTAAGTAATCCTGAATGTAACTTAAAAATTATACTTGTAGTTAAAAATAGCCCCACAAAGGAAACTTCAGAATGTTAAAATGAGAAGAGGAACAAGAAAGAGAGGAGAAGGAAGAGAAAGAAGGGGGAAACATGGAAATAAAGTTTTTGTAAATGGGGAGGGAAGAAGGGGTTGAAAGAAGGGTACAGAAAGGGGAAAAACAAAACCAAATCGTATCATGTACAGGTACAAATTTCCTATGATGAACGTGATCATTATGTATATCTAAAACATACCAATAAAGTCTGATAAAAAAAAAAGTGGGAGTGAAAACAACCCAAACCTTAAAAAAATAGAAAGAGAGAGAAGGAGGGAGGAGAGGCCTTGCACTTCTTTGTCTACTGTGTACACATCCCTCTGCTATATTGTGCAAAAAGGGTGTAAATCATGTAAGTCTCCAAAATCTCTCCCCTCCAGGAAAGTGAAACTCCAGGCTCCGATAACTTCACTAGTAAGAAATAATGTAACTAAGACAAACAGAAGGGGAGAAAATGCTTTGTCTAATATGAAAGCCAAACCGTAGAATATTACAGGGCAACACCTCTCATGAACACCTCTCAAATTCAAAAATTTTCAACAAAATTTTAGCAACCAACACTACGTAAGAGGAACAAACACATCATTGCCAAATAGGCTTTATCCCAGCAAGGCTGGGTAGGTTTAACATTTGGAGAACAATGAGATTCACCACATTGACCAACTAGAAAAAAACCCTATTCGATTATCTTGACACAGAAAAAGCATTTGACAAAACCAAATATCCATTCCTGATTTTAAAAACTCCTGACGTATCAGAAAAATAAGGAAACTTCCTAAACTCGATAAAGGGTTTCTATGGGAAAAAAACCCCACAAATTTATCTGCTGTCAGCACTTCTATCCAGAATTATACTATAGGATCTTTAGACAATAAAATAAGGCAAGAAAAAAGATATCATGGATCTAGATCAGAACAGAAGATGGGCCAGGGACATGGCTCAGTGGCACAATGTCTGCCTGGCAAATGCAAGGTCCCGAGTTCGATTCCCAGTACACACAAAAAAAGAAATAAATATATAAAACTAAAACTTTATTCACAGACATGACTGTCTTTGCAGAAAAATCTTAATTGAATTTATAAGTTACCAGAATAAATGAGTTCATAAGAGTTGCAGATACAACACACATATGTATACATATATATATACACAATATATTCAAATGTTAGTGCATACTAGCAGGAACAATCAGATAAAGAAAAATTTTAAAATATCACTTATAATAGAATCAAAACATGAAATATTTAAGGGTAAATCTCAGATCAGATACCGAAGTGTTTCAATGGAAAAAACATCAATTAAAAATCAAACTGAGTGTGACGGTGCATGCTTATCATTACAGCACTCAGAAGGCTGAAGCAGGAGGATTGCTGTGAGTTTGAGGCCAGCCTGAACTACATAGTGAAACTGTATCTCAAAAAGACAAAAAAAAAAAAAAAAAAAAGAACCAAGAAGCCACAATCCTGGCTCTGGCTTATTTGTAGCTTTACAGCTTTGAATTTCCTTTCTTTCTCTGGGAAATCTGTACAATATGAGTATTTAATACTATCAGTGGCCCCTCAATTTTTTCAATATTATGTATGCTTCCAAGAATTTGATAAAAGCAACAGAACTGATTCCAGGACAATGTTCTCTAGTAGTCTGTACACACCTTGAGGGGAATCCAGGGATCCTGTGGGGCTCCACCTAGATAGCCCCCAATTTTAGAACCTGTGGATCACGTAATTCTGAGACCATTACCACTTCCAAAGGTCCTAAGGCTCTAAGATTTTTAGAAAACTATATAGAAGAGGGTGTTTACAGAGCCCTAATTACTGTGAACTCTCCACATACTGACCAGTTTGATGGGGGAAGGATTTTCCACAACTGAGTAAGTAGGCACAGGCAACATGATGAACTGTGTGGCTGGTGCAGAGGAGCTGCTTTCGCTGGAATCCTGCAGGCAAAGGAGGAGGACAGTTTCACTGAAATAGAATCAGAACATCCAGGGCCACTCTCAACACTGGAAGACTGGATTGAGCCCAGTACTCACAATGTGCTTATCCAACACACAATCAAATCAACCTAGAATTGTCTCAAAATAAAATTAGGAATGAAGAGAAAACTAACAGAAAATGTGCTAGTCAAATTTTACAAATGAAAAAACCAAAGTTCTAAGAGATTTAATTTCTCAGATTACATAAGCTATTAGTGAGAGAATTCTTTTGATCTTGTCAAATGTTCTTAGCATGTCATTAATACTATGGCCAGTGGGCCACATCACTATCATAAACAGCAACAAGGCCACAGATAAAAGCAGGATTTGTAAAGTTTTACTGGATTTCTCCACAGGAATACCTGCTTTCTTCCACATAAGCCACAGGGCTAGAGATGCTGGCCTTCTTATCCTGGATAAAACATTCATCTATTGAAGGATGACATCTTATCCAGGGTGAAAGAGTGAGGCTTATACACCAGGGCACAACAGCAGTTCCCCTATTTCCGGGGGACTAGGTTGTAGAATCAATGACACTGCTGCTTTTCTCTCAAGTTAGCATGGTTCTCAGCCAGCACAGAAAGATTTGCCTCTTCTTTCTCAGCTACTACCACAGTCTCATCAACCTGGCCTTGAAGAGATTATCTTTGTACCTATGCCATCTAAGCCCAGGAAGACCTTTTATCATACACATTTCAAGATATCACTGTATTTGCTGAAATAGTCATCAGGAACACAAAACCCTAACTGGTACTAACAACCTGCGAGATCTGGGCTTTGACTCCTAGACAGCCCTAAGCATCACGTGCAGCTCTCCTGCTAACGCTGGATGAAGAAGAGTTGGTAAGAGTGCCCAGAAACTGAGGAGAACACTGCAGCAAGCTCAGGGCTCAGAAACGTTCAAGGGAAGTGCCATATAATTACCACTGCCTGGCGTTGGCTGCTTTTTTAGTAATTCCATAAAGCAAAACACCACTTACCCTCATGACTGTTACCACCGACACACTCTCCCCAACCTGCGTGCGGGGCATAGTCAGGTTTCCACTGGGGGGTTCAGATGAGCTGTTCAGCAAGGTCTCTTCAATCACCAGGTTTGTCTGGTAAGGCTGCTGGCTCTCCCCTACCTCCAAGGAAGCCTCCTCCAGCAGTACCTCCTGGGTGAGGATCTCTGAGGTGGTGATCTCCTGTACAGCACCTGGCTGAGCAAGGGCTCCCACCTCTTCAGCCAGAGTCTCCTCAGCCAGGCTTTGCTCTGCTATGCCCGCGTGGCCAGGCACTGTCTCTGGGGCAGTGCTGGACACAACTGAAGGTCCTTTAGGGGACATTTGGTTCTGAGCAACACATAGCTCCAGCTGAGCACAGCTCTGATCTTCCTGGAGGCTGCTCTTAGGGATGATGATGTATTCTGAGCGAGGGAGGATCTTGCGGAAACCTGGGATGTCTGGAACCACAGCAGTCACTGTGGAAAGCTTAGAGTTCTGAGAGTAAAGAAGAAGCCAAGAAGGAGACAAGCAGAAATAAATGAATTAAGATCACACAGAAATCTATCTATTAACTTATTTTTTTCTGTAAATGTGACTAGAAAAAGACTCCACTCTTTTAACCTTACAGAGGCCAGCCTCTGTCAACGGCAGTATTGTCTTCATTCACATCACTGTAGCTTGCTTGCTCAATCACATAAATACATAACATGGATTAAATTGTGGACAGGGCATGATTCTGGCATCTAAAACTGCAAGCTGAAACTCAAGGTCTGATATGGTTTTGAAAATATTGTGCCCCCTTAAGGCCTCAGCTGCCCCATCTGTAAAACAAGGAAGCTAAATCTGACAATTTATAGCATTCTTTTTAGTTTTGATACTTTAAGATTCCCAACTGGCATATGATTTAAATACCAGAATACATAATACTAAAAAAAAAGAAAGAAAAAAGAAAAGCCTCAAAAACCAATGAGCCGAGATGGAACTCAACACACCAAATCAAGCAATCAGCGTCTTCTCCAGACTTACAAACAAGAGGATGCACACATCACAAAGCTGCCAGTGCTTTGTACACGCTCTATCTCATGAGGTCCTGAATACATCAAAAAAAAATAAGTATTAAAAATGACCCAGCACCATGAAGTTTAGAAAATGCTTTCTAATTTCACCTTAAAAACAACACTGTTAAGCTATGAGCTGTTTTTATTCTCATTTCACACACGAAGAACTGGAGGCTGATGAAGCCCAGGGGGTTAAACTTCCAAAACACAAAATTAGTAAGTAGTAAAGAACTGTGCTCCTGGCCAAGTATTCTAAAGATCAAGAAGAGCACATATAACAAACAACCTTGGTAGCTCACACCAAAAAAACAAAAACAAATTTTGGATTATTCAATTTAAAATAATGTCACCTAGTGAAGAAAAGTTTAAAGAAGTTCAAAGTAAGAACAAAAATTAAATGGAACAAAAAATAATTTCAGAAACATCTATCAAAAGAACACTGAAGTCAGTTACAAAAGGATCCTTAAATCAAAAGCAAGAAATCAATAAGACTACAGCACAAAGGAAGCACTCAGAGGTAAAAGTTAAAAACACTGAACTAAAACATCAAAGTAGACAGACTCAATTCCTTATGGAACCTTTATTGGAGAGGTAATGTGGAAATAAGATTCTAAAGTCACTCGTTGAAGCACACAGGTTGAACAGGACTAATTGGTTGTGAATATATAGGATGGTTTAGAGCACAAAGAAACTGGATGGCACAATTACAGACTGGAAAAAGTCACAGTGGAACCTTGGGTGCTGTTAAGGGCAGGAGACCAAAATGGGCTCCAAAAGGCTCCCAATGTAGAAAGCCTATAAGGTCTTATCCTCAAACAAGCAACTGGGGAGAGGACAAACACAGCATAGGAAATTTCACTCAGCTGTCATACATTCCAGTTACTTAATAAATGCTACCTTTTCTTATTATATGGTTACTGGAAGTTAAGTACTAAAGTGATACTTACTGACCAAGTTAGTATGCATCAAGAACTCAGCTAAATGATTTACATTATCTATTTATGGGTAAATACTAGTTTCATTTTATAGATAAGAGAAGCAAAACTGAAAATTACAATATTTCTTTCATGATCATTCAGTCAAGCTGGTATCAAAGCTAATCTAGTCATGATCTTGGTTGTACTGGCAGAGATAGGGTAAATTTAAATAATCAAATGGAAAAGGAAGAATTTGTTTAAAGTGTTGATAAGGACCTATGTCAGTGTCTAATTTTAAAAACCAAATCATTCCACAATTAGATTCTGTTTTTGGTGTTAAGAATTGAACCTACAATCTCACATGTTCTAAAGCATGTGCTCTGCCAGTGAGCTGTATCCCAGCTCCTAAGACCGCAGATTTTATAATGGGGACACCAAAGAGGATAGGTGTACTTGTTTTAGACTCTACCTCCCTCCACCCCAGGAATTATTTCCCAGATTCACTGCTTACAAACAAATCACTTAAAAGGAGCAAAAAGTAACATTTTCCAGACTAAGGCAACAGAAAGCTCTCTGAGGAAGAGGAATGCTGACCCAATAAGCACAAAATCATCTAAATGACAGTGGCAGCAGCAGGATTCCAATACATCCTGTTCTGCTGTAAAGCAGTAACTGCCTTCCTGAGGAACCCTTTCTCTACATTACCAAAAAAGAATTGAGAGCTGGGAGCACAGCTCAGCAGCACAGTGCCTGCACGGCAAGTGCCAGATCCTGTGTTTGATTCTCAAAATAAATAAGTAAGTTCTCACAACAGAAGTGACAGATGACTGTTGCAATCGAGAAGAGAGCAGGTTATAGATTGCAGCTTGCAGCAGCAAGGGTATTATTCCTGCAGTAGCTCAATTTAAAAAAGGAGTGAAAAATTTGAATGCTACTCAATATATTTTATAACGTGAACTAGAAATAACAAAAGAGCTGACAGACATAAACCTAACTGCTTCCTTGCTAGTTCTTTTATCCAAGAACTCGTATCTTCAGTCTCCTCCCCTTGACTTTAACCCTTCATCTTGCTTCTAGCATACCACAGTTCATATCCACCATTAGTAACAAAAGAACCTACTATTACGCTGAACATGAAAGCCTGATTATAACTGTAATTAGTGAAACACAAATTATACTACACTCATGATGTAGTGTACTTCTCGTACACAAACATGACGTAGGAGAAATGCCTTTATAAGTTAGTATATTAAAGGAAAATACCACTACTTATCCATGAGGATAATGGCCTCTAAATTATACTAAAATTCAGAAGAGGAACCTAAGAATCACCAAAAAGAACTCAGTACACTCAGCTCTACGCACTGTTGCAATCTAAGAGGACAAAAGTGTGTAAGGCATCATCAAAGTGTTTCCACAAGGTGTTTCCACAAAGTGTTTCCAACAAGGAGGCTCAAGAAAGATAATATGATAAATGTTTTCCAAGGAAAAGGAAACAGGAAAACAGGGGTGTTAGCCTCCCCAGAGCTTTCCCCATTGAACCCACAGAGAAATTAGCTGGGTGTGAACAACACTTACAGGATCCAAACCTTCTTTCTCTAGTTTGGCTTTCTCCAAGTAGTAACTCCTCTCAGCCACACTGAGAAGCCTCCAACTCTCACTAATCTTCTTATTGATCTCAGACTGTGGGAGGTGGGGGAGCTCCTGCTGCACTTTCAGGTAGATGTCGTAGTAGTACAAAAGGTAAGCAGACCTGAGGAAGCAATGATGTCTTCAACTTTCCCTTATTCAACCACAGGTACTCCACTGCTAAGGACTGGGTAGTCAGGAGGATGATACCCAGCCTCTCAATCCAAAGCATTTATCTAAAAAAGGACTAACCGTCAAAGAAAGAAGTATTTATGATACCCTAGATGGCATTTGGAGATGGGTAAAATGAATGGTAAAAAATGGCTGTTCTCCTTTCAGAAAAAGGTTTACCTGGTGTATACAGATCATTTTCTGTAGGAATGACTACTTTTAAAATGCAATATAGCCAAAGAAAGACACAGGTGTGTTGTCATTGTACTCTCAGAGCAAATAACTCAAGTGGCTTACTGCCTGGGCTGGTATCACACTCTTTACTATTCTACACAGCTTTTGGTCATCTAACTCATCAAAAGTACTTCCTTGAGGCTGAGAAATTAATGCAGATACCATTATCAAAGGGACCCAATGCTGGTATCTTCAACAAGAAGTATGCATTGTTCATAGTTAAGAGGGAGACTAGAAACAGCATCTGGTTATTCTCTATAGATGCCATTAGTGGTAGTACACACAATTTTATAATTTTATTAAAGTCTTGCTTTAAATATTTAAACATGGTACCAAAAATACACAAATAAAAGTCAAATTTTCTAAAAATGCAGTTGTTCTGTACAAAGTTTCTACTATTTATACAGTTGTTACCTGTCACAACCTGGAAAAAAAGTCTCACAAGAATGGTAAATACAGTACTAGCATAAATCTAGCCATTTCCCATTTCTTCCTCTTATGGTATCCCAATACCCATTGTGAAAAGCTCAAGAATTACACTTCCTTTGTGAATGGTAAAATCTTCCACAACCCAGTTCTTTATACAGCTTGTTTATAAATGACAGCAGCAACCAAAACATGTAGGCTAACCTGGGTTTCTTGGCCTTTTCTCCATGAATTTTATACTTTTTCTTCTTCTTCGGTGGCCCAGGAGAAGTGTAACAGTAGACTTCCTTAATTTCCTCCATCACAACAGTTACCTCAGTACCATCATATGATGCATCCATGACTAGAGAGAAAAAGTAAACACAAAGCTTTAAAGAATGTACCCTCACGGGGCAGCAGCCTGCAGATCAAATAATCCTTCACCTGTTTGGGAAATAGCCAAAACCAGATTCTAAGCAATACATACGATACCTGGAAGCTACATATCCAGATTTCAGGACTCCAGCTCAGCCCTTCTGAATTAAAGCACACGGAAATCTATGCAGTTAACAGATAATTTCTTTAACCAAGTCCTTATATTTATTCATGGGTATAGTAATTCTTCAACTCAAAGATTTATTCATCTCACATTATAAAAATTCTACACAGAAACAGCTAAAAAGAAGAGCTAGCCTGGAGTGGGAAGTTTTGTCTGCTCCTCATGTTCCATCAGCTTAAACAGTTTCATTCATTCACTTAAACATACAATTAGAATCTATATACCGAGGGTTTTTTAATACTCTACCAGCTTTTGTAATTTTGTGGTAGGTCTTTCAAAATGCTTTAGGCTCAGTGCATTCTCTCTCTCCCTCTTACATATTAAAAAAAATTATTTCACTAACCTTCCTGATTTTATAGTGTAAGACTCAAAGCACATAATAGACACAACTTTACTTGGGAACAGTCAAGTGCTATACAAATGAAAGGGTTAAGTATTAAAACCTATCATCTTCAGGTGAGACTCTTACAACCTGCGAAGACCACCAAGCTCAAATGTGGACTAAGAGTGGTAGGAGTTTTTTTTGTTTTGTTTTTTTTAAAAAACATAACTCTTTGGTCCTTCATAATATGATACTGCTACCCATCTCTACCAGCAACTCTCCACACCAGAACTATTCAATAAATTCTGATGAGAAAGTCTGTGTCTGGGCTGTCCACTAGCCATTAGCTATACATGCCTATTAAAACACTCAAAATGAGGCTAATTAGGAACTGATTAATTTTGCTTTGCTAAACTGTAATTACATTGCCACATATGGCTAGTGTAGTGATATGGCACACGTCTAGGAGTAATTTAACAGACCAATGTTAGCTCTCTGCTGCTGGCCTAAAAACAGACATGTCTATGGAAAGGAAGATACAAAGAAATTGGAAGACTAGTTCAAGAAGTTAGTTTAAGTGTGGCTGAGTTCTAAATTGGGGTTATATCAACTCAGTCCTTGGTGGGAGAAAAATGCCTCAAAATCACCTGAATTTACGACAGAGAGATACTATAGTTGCTCTTTGAAATCAATCAAAAGAAAGCTTATTCTGATTCTAGAAAGAGGGAGATGTGGTAATAAACAACACAGGGAATACAGCCCAGCTGCATCTCATTTAGCCCTCACACCAAAAATGACAAGGTATCTAACAAGCACAATGACAAAGAGGTCTACGTGGAGTCGGGAGATGTGGATCCAGGTTTAAACTCTTACCATGTGATTACACTCTAAATTTCAGCTATTTCTACTATGAGATGAAAAGAATGAACTTAATGGCTCCTATCCTGTGGGAAGCAAGAATCTTTTCAACAAATGTGAAAGCTTAAAAACTCTCCCTTAGAAAATTCAGACGCACATTTCCCAATGTTAAAACTATATGCCAAGTTAGGAACGTATTATTCCTAAAGGCCTTTATAATACCGTCATTTCTAAGTGATTCCTTTTCTAACCTTTCCTCCAAACTTAACCTGTACTGTAACTATCATAGTGCAACCCAGGAGGAGAACACAGTCATCAACCTCACTGGGTAAGCAAAAGATTAAGGATAGCAGGACTTCAAAGCAAAGGTACATGGGGATTGCATTTTTTTGCCTTTATAATTGAATTATAATTGAATGCCTAGCGGAGAGCAGTAACTCCAAGAAAGCATCCATAAAGAATGGCGCATACAAGCTCTCAACCAGAGCAAAACAAATTAAGAAACAAAGTAATTATTACCACGTTGGGGCGGGGGCAGCAAGAGACTATCCTAGTTTGTCTTTGACTATTCTAAGCCCTGCTCCAAGTTTGCTTTCAGATCTCAGGCACGCAAAGAAAGGCAGAATAGCATGAAGGTTAAAACCAAGGGCTCTGCAGAACACTGGCACTAATTATGGCTCCACTGTTTAATAGCAACAGCACAGACCCCTATGACCTTATGCAACTTACTCTAAGCTTTAAGTTGTCCCTCGTGCAAAACAGAGAAGCAGCACTTGAAATATGACACTTCCACTACCCCTTCAGACCATCCTCCGAACCTTTTGCGATGGCCTCGCCTCACGATTTGACTCTGGGCTATTTTCTTTCCTTTCCGGGTTCCAAAGACACGGACTGCGGGAAGAGGAAGCTCATCGGCCTATTTCATGGAAGACGCAGGTAGAGGCTCGCCCCAAAAGCAGCAGCGCGCAGCATGCCGGCGGTGCGGCGTGACCCCGGGGGCGGGACTTACCCCGAGGAGCGTGGCAGCCTCGCGGCTCACATTCCCCGCGGCGCCGGGCCCGCGGGCGGGACGGGAGGGCTGGCCAGCACACTCGCGCTCCCCGCTGTCGGCGAGAGGCGGCTCCAGTGGTAACACCGGCGACAAGGAAGTGGAAGCAAGGACTCGCGCGCGCATCCCGGGGGCTGGAAAAGCCCCGGCCCCACGGCCCTGCCGGGCGACACACGGCGCGGGGTCGCGAGAGTCGCCCTCGTTCCCCTCTTCGGAGTAGCTCTGGGGGATGGTGAAAGACAAGTGCAGGAGCACAGGTTCGCTCCGCAGGATTCCCGCCAACGCCTGCCGAGGACCCACCCCGGGGATCAAGCCCCGGGGAGCCCAAGGAAGAGCAAGGGCACAAGCGTCGCCGCGACACCGATTCGGTGGTGACACTGGCAGCAGCAGTGGCAGCAACAGCGCTCTAAGGATCGCCAGGGAGACCCGTCCCGGCGCACCTCGCGGTGCACCGGAAGCAGCCAGCGGTGCGTGACTGCGTGCAACCCCGCGCGCAAGCGCAAATGTGCAGCCTAGTTGCGGGGCGGGCTGATAGGAACCACTTAGACTCCGAGAGGGCGGGCTAAAGCGGACGGACTGCTTCCGGCCAGGAGTCCCGGGCAGCGGAGGGAGCTGTTGCTACTGGTTGTGGGACGCCCGGGCAGGGCCGCTCTGCCCTCGCGCTGTGCTGTGGGCCCTTCAGGTAAGGGGGGGGGGGGGGGGCGGGGCGGGGCTGTGCTGACTCTGAGAGATAAAGCCTCACGTCACCTCTAAAAGTTAGACCGGGCACCGTGCAACCTATGTCGCCATCCTTTCCTCAGCACTGCCGCCAAGGCCTGTCTCCAGCCCGCCGCAGTCTGCCCCAGCTCATTAACGATAAAGTTGATATTTGCAGTGCCACGTCAACCCACTTCTCACCTCGGTTATCTGCCCTCAATCCGTCTGCTGCTGTCCCACGATGAACATGATACCGAGTTCTGGAGAGACTGAAACCGAGTTCCCGGAGTCTTTGGGATTCAGGGATTGGATTGGACTGTCGCTGATACCATAGATTGTGCCACATTAACAAGCTCCTGCACGATCCTCACTATAATACAAGCCTTACTGCTTTTTCACACCTATGGCTCACACACTCCCACCACCGTCCTCTTCTGCCTAAACTAAACCACCTCCTCTCACGACTCCCCACACAGCAACAAGATTTGTCATTCTGCACTCTTTAAGTCTAGTTAATCACTGCTGGAAATAAAAATCCTAAATTGAAAAAAAAGTCTAAGTAACTTCCTGTTTCACATTCTCTAGCATCTTTTGTCCTTACAATAAAATTAAAACTTCTAAGTCTCGGATGTGACTCAGTGGTGGAGTATTTAACCTAGCATGTGTGAGGCCCTGGGTTCAATACCAGCACCAAAGTAAATAAAAATAAATTTAAAACTCAAACCAGACATGATGGCACATGTCTGTAATCCTAGCACTTGTGATAGCCGCAAGTTCGAAGCCAGCCTGAACCACATAGTGAGATTCTGTGTCAAATCAAAACAAACTGAAATTTCGAAAATCACTTTTTATGCTGACCAAGACTTTGGTCGGGCTCTTGTTTCATTCTGTTTCCCTATCTCCTCTCTAAATGGTGAGTTGTCAGAACGTTCTCTGTAATATTCTGTGTAATTCTGTAGTGTTTAAAGCATTAACTTTTGTGAGCCTTTCTGGGTTTGAGTCCCAGGCTTGCCACAAATAAGCGTGTAAAATGCTTTACAGATTCTGTTTAAGCATTAGATCTTCCATAATTGGTTCTCTTTTAGTAAATGGGACTATCACCTACTGAATTGTTCAGTGTTAAAACCAGAAACCCTTAGGTTTCATCTCATCGAATCCTTCAGCAAGGCCTGCATAAACATAGCCTAAACTGATTACTTCTATTACTGTAATCCAAGCTACCGTTGTTTCTTATCTGGATTCTTGCTTTTGTGTGTGGTGGAAGGTAGTTCTGGAGGTTGAGCGTAGGGTTTTGCACATGCATTTACTACTACAGAACTGTTCTCCCAATTCCCTTCTCTTGCTTGTTCTCTGACACCCTTTAATTCCATTCTTCACACAATATTCATCTCTTTCTCCTTGTTTAAAGTCTTTCATTAGCTTCCTGTTGCATTCAAGCTAACATTGAACTTTACAGCCTAGTAGACTAGCCTCTTTTTAGATTTAGAGCCATGTGTTAGGAAAAAGAACTTTTATGTTCCTGATGCTGTAAACAAAGTGGATGTTATTCCAAAAACAACAAAGCCAAAACCACCCAGCAAAACAAAACAAAACCCCCAAAAGCTGCTCCAGAACCAAGGTAGAGTCATACAAGAGACCTTTGTGATTTGGTCCTCATTTATACTCCAAAGACATTTTTTCCTCCCCATGACATTTTATTTTCTATAGTACTTCATTGCCTTATACATATTTCTGACCTCTCATGAATTCTAATTTGTTTATTCTTTTTTCTTTTCGTTGTCTTTTTGAGACAGGGTCCTGCTGTGCAGTTGAGGCTGGACTTCAACTCACTTTGTAGCCCAGGGGTTAGCCTCAAACACAGCAGTCCTCTTGCCTCAGCCTCCCAAGTGCTTGGGATTACAGGTGTGCGCCACCATGCCCAGTAATTTTTCTTAGGTTTTACCATATTGTTTCCTCTTTGAAATGCACTGCTTTTCTGTACCCCATCACAGTTAATTATTTCCACTTTTATATTCCCGTACCTCTATAACCTTTATAGTATTTAATACTCTATAATGTTTTGCCTTTCCTGCTTCTATGGTCAGCTTCTCGATGGGTAGGCACTGTAGCCTCATTCATGGCATGGTATGTGACATTGAGGAGAGTCCTTGACTCACAAGATCACATGAATGAGAGAATAAATGTGTAAAATTAGTGGTAAAAAATCTGTCCTTGGGAAGGAGTAGTCACAGCATAAGGTGACACCATGTTATCCTTTGAGGATTCTCATCCTAAACTGCCTAGAGTGGGCAACTGCTACTGCTGGATAGTATTTTGTTTAACCAAGTTTGGCAAGAGAGTTGTTTTTTGTAAATTTTTGAAAGCTTTAGATATGGCACATAGATTATAAAATTCTCCAAATACCTTATCCTGGTATCACTCACTTATGCCACTCTCCTTGCCCTTAAAAGTGTTTGAGTTTGGAGTACCTATCTAGGATCCAATACTGCAATTTGGAACAGACCTTAAATATTATCTACAGTAGTTCTGTGGTATGCAAACATGCCATTTGGAGATTGTCATAGACATTCTTATTTAATAGATTCTTAATTGGACTTGGATGTCAAATTCTGACATGCCTTCCTAGGCCAGTCAAACTTCTTCATTTTAAAATAGGAAAAGAGGCCCAGATAAGGATTGTACTGTCACATGCCCATCACTTCTGCTAACATCTCTTACCCCAGTTTTCAGCAATAGCATCCTGATATCCTAATTGGTCTTTTTACATCTTTGAGGCATTTTCCACAAAAGAGCTAAAAATGCATAACATATCACCCTCCCTTCTCTGAAAACCTTTAGTGAATTTCTGGCATGTAGAATAAAGTATGGACTTCTTACAGAACATCTTTGAATGGTCTGGCTTGCCACCTTATACACTTGAATCAGTCAACTCCTTTAGTATACCTCTGACTGCTGATTTTTAGAGTTGCTGAGAATATGTCTTTTGCTGAATTGCGCTTTGCCTCAGCTCTCCGTGAACACCTCAGCTTAAATACCTTGTCTTAGCAAGGGTATCCCCAACAGCCTTTGTAAATACATCCTCTCCTTTTGTTTTCTTCTGTACTGATTTTTCCTTTATAGTACTTACCACTCTGTTTAATTATTTATCTGTTTATTTATTGCTTATCTTCACTACCACATTTTGTATTTCACAATGGTAAAGGACCCTTCACAGAATTCTTCATTGAATCCTGAAACCTATAAATGTTTGTCGAATGTATGGCGCCAGAAGCCCATTCAACATTGCAAATCTTTCCAAGCCAGACCTTGAGAGAACTTTGAAGACTGCATTTTGATGGAATTTCAACCAAGACCATTGTATACAGCATTATCTGAGTCAAGAAATCTTGGCTATATATATCTAGTTCAGCCTCTTACCTAGGCCACAGTTTCTATATTCATAAAACAAGCTGGATAAATAACTGAATTTATACGCTGCATTCCCTTTGCAAAAATCTTTTACCACCTCTTTCAATTCTTGTTTCCATTTGTACCAAGTCTTGGAAAGTTTAGGTAAATTATATTATCTGAAACAGCTCTTTGGCCCTGTTTAAAATCTCTAGTCTATTACTGACAAAAAGTAACGAATCTTATTTTCTCTCAATTTTAGCCTGATTGTATCATTTCTTAATAAGATTTTTAAAAAATCTGAACCCATCTTTTAGGCAAATTCATTAACTGGTTCCTGATAGGTACTCCATTTTGTCTTCTCCTTATACTAAAACAACCTACGAGAAGGCATGGACACTGTCTTGTTAATTACGGCCCTTCTGTCATCTCCCAGGAATGGCAGTGGGGAGCAGGAAGCCTTGGCAGTTCTTCCTGGAGGAGAAAATGAAAGTTGCAGGAAGCCAGTAGGCAAAAGGAAAGGCAATGTGGCTGTTAGAGTTTGTGTTTAGGTGTCCTCCCAGAGCCTCATGCAGTTGTAGGTGGGGCTTTTTCAGAGCTGGCTGCATCTAGGGTGTGTGATGCTGGAATTAATTCATGATGCAATGCTAGGATCACACTAAGATTAAGGGTGCGAGTGCTACCCATCTTAAATAGCCTGGATAAGATATAAGGAATACAAAGAACCATGGCCATTGC